ATCCACCAATTTAGAATATTTGGCTTGGTTGTCTCTACAGGATCGCGCCAAAACACAGATACCAATGGCAGTTCGCCATCTCAAGAAGCCGTTCTGGGGTGTTCAGTTCCACCCGGAGTCCTGCAAATCAGAAATCAATGCGTGCCAGGCACTTCTCCGAAATTGGTGGAGAATGGCTCTTGGGTACAACAAGATTGTTGGACGCGGGGGATATTGTTCCCTTCCCAACACAGTCATCAGCCCCCTAACAGCCCCCAGTCCATTCCCTGATGCTGCTTATGAAATGCTCAACTGGAGCCAGTCGACTTCGAAAATTTCGGCTTCTCGGTCCCTTAAACAGCCTGAATTGACTGCAGAGCTTATAAGTGAGCTGTTCAACAAACCAGGTTCGCCGGCGGTTCTTTTCCAATCCAATGGCCAATACAACATCGCTTCGGTGCCGAGTCCTGGTTCATGGAGGTTCGAATACAATGTTGAGACACATAAACTTCGATTGCTCCAGCTGGATGGCGACTACAAAGAGGTTGAAAGTTATCTTACCGTTGCTCAGTTGTGGGATGCCTTACGGTATTTGATGGAAATGAAGAAAGTGGACTCAGGAAACTCTCAGGTGCCATTCTGGGGTGGCTTCCTGGGTTATCTCTCTTATGAACTTGGCCTCACTTGTCTTCCCCACCCAGGCCATACGCAGGCTTCCGAGTCACCAAGGCCCCCCAGCACCGGGGAATCTTCTTCTAATCCTTCCTTTGCGGATCCACCTGATGTCAACCTTCTGTGGTGTGAAAGAAGTATCGTGGTTGACAATTCCACTGGCACCATTGTTATTCAATCTACTCGCGATGATGATGCGGGTTGGCTTAATGAGACACTGCAGCTGCTGCAAGGCTTCTCGAACAGCGGCAATGATACATCTGTGGATATGGGCTTGGATTCAATTCTCCGGGAAAGCAAAATTAGATTCCCCGAGGAAAAGGAATACAAACGGCAAATCGAATCATGCCAAGCGGAGCTGGAAGCTGGTGAATCTTATGAGCTATGTCTAACCTCTGAGACGTCAATCACTTTGCCAGTTCCAGAAGTAGAATCTGACCGTTTGATGTTTCCCTGGAAACTGTATAAGCGACTCAAAATATACAACCCAGCTGCATTCAGCGCCTTTGCAGATTTGGGAGACACGAAGATCGCGAGCAGCAGCCCAGAGTGTTTCCTCAACTGGGACCGTGAGTCGACAGTGGAGATGAAGCCAATGAAAGGCACAGTCCGAAAATCACCGGGAATGACTATGGAGAAGGCCCGTGAAATCCTTGGCTCCACGAAAGAGATGGCCGAGAACCTGATGATTGCGGATTTGATCCGGCACGATCTGTACGGCATCTGCGGATCAGGCGGCGTCCATGTTGAGAAACTGCTCGAAGTCGCAGACTACGGCCGAGTCTACTCAATGATCACTCATATTAAGGGCAAGATCCGCCCCAACCACCCTGGTTTCGCCGTACGACATATGTCTCAGCTGAATACCCCAAACATGTCCGTCCACGGTTTGACTACCCTCCAGCGGTGCCTCCCGCCAGGTTCCATGACTGGTGCACCCAAGGAACGCTCTTGCATGCATCTTCGCACGATTGAGAATCGCAAGCGTAGCATTTACTCTGGTGTGATGGGTTTCCTGGACCTTGGCGGCGGTGGAAGCTTCTCGGTTTTGATCCGCTCGGCATTCACTTGTTATGGTGGTCGAGACTATACCGAGAATAAGCAGCAGACCTGGCGAATTGGCGCCGGGGGTGCTATTACCACACTCAGCACAGCGGAGGGCGAATGGGATGAGATGTTGACTAAACTGCGTGTAGTTTGCAACGTCTTCTCGCCGCTTGAAGCAGGCGAGAAATCGGCTACGACGTCTTAACTACTCGGTGCAGTGTTTTGTTGTTGGTCATTATGACAGTTGTGCCTGGTCGCATCATGATCCACGCTTTTCCTTGCTTTCAACATTCGGATCTATGCGTTGGGATAGAGATTCGATTCAACATACAGCGTTGGCGTTTCGGTTGGCTTTTTGATATTCTCTCATCACCTTGTATTTTGTCTACAATCTTTGTTAAATAATCATATAAATTCGAAATGCAAATATTCACCACTCTTTCAACTGAATAGGGTCCCGTCGTCATACAGGTTGTACTGTCAAGTTGCAAACAAAACAAACATCATTTTCTCCGCAGCTTCAACTTCTGAGCTGCGTCTTTCTTTTCATTAAACCTCTTTCGCAATTTAATAAAAAAAGCTCGCCACGAGCTTCGATAGACCGGAGGTGACTCGGTCTATTCCAAAATCGCAAATGGCGAACCAAGATGCCTCAATGGAGGAGATCCTCTGGCGGTCTCCCCCGCACGTCCAGATGATGGGGGGTTTCCTTCATTCCAACAACAGTGAGTGGCACACCTTACCACACCTAGACCTAATATTAATTTTCTGGTCAATTAGTTCTGTTTTACTTTGCCGAATCCCCTTTCTTTGATTCGACCTCCAACAACGCCTCGTTAGCCATCCAAGCCAACTACAACGATGCCTTCCGTCATTTCGTCGAGACGCGCGAAGCGTTCGAAGCCCGACTGAAAACAATGCAGGGGCTGGAGTTTGTCGTGTCATATGACCCCCTCCAAGCAGCTGCACAGACAGACAATCGCTTCGCCCACGAGCCGTCCAACATCTGGGTGATCCGCAAGCAGAACCGACGGAAAAGAAGCGGCATGGACGACGAGGTGACCGTGATATCTACGTACTTCATTGTCGGCGACTGCATCTACATGGCTCCTTCAGTTGCGAGTGTAGTGGGCAACCGAATTGTATGTATTCGCTCGGAATCCACCAACCGCTCCGAGACAAGCATTCTAATGAATCTTTTCCCTACAGCTATCGGCCGTCACGTCCCTAACCCAGCTCATGAAATCCGCCGCAACATTACCAACATTTACCGCCTCCCATGGACACACCTACTTGCCACCCGGAGTCCGCAGCAAAGAAACTGCCGGAACCACCAACCAAACCTCACAGAGCAAAGAAGCAACACCCATGCCAGATGTATCTTTCGCAACCACTGAATCCTCCCAAACAGCCAGCAAATCAAGCTTGGGCGGATCAAACACAGGCTCAAGCTTCCAAGATACGCGCAGTCTAGCTGAATCATTCAGCCTGCTCACGCGCTACGGCGACGAATTCATGGACGAGAGCCCCCTCGTCGGCGAACCAGGCTCGTTCATCCTATCACGGACTGGCGGCGAAACTATCGGTTCGGCTGCTAAAGCTGCGCCAAAAATAGCTGCTAATTCGGCGGCGACTGGTACGCCTTCTGCCCTGCCTGTTAGGGCTTCGACGCCGCAGGTCCGCGTCGAGACCCCTGGCAAGGCTTCCGAGAAGAGTAATTCGCCGCCTAGCTCCGCCGGTGATAAGGCGAAGAAGAAGAAGAGCCGGATCGTCAGCTGAGTTGCTTTTTTGATACCCTTTTTTGGTTGCATCTCTGGGCGTTTGGGGGATTGGGCATAGCATTTACGGGGACTACTCTGTTGGTATCTAGGAGCTGACTATCAGCTGAGTTTTACATATATCTTGGCCTGATGTTAAGTTTTGACTTGTAATATCCTAAACCACTGTAGCTCTGCGGTTGTTGTAGACGGCAGTGGGATAGCAGTGTAAAAGTAGCCATGGAGCAAGCTTATACTAGGACATTCGAACCACTTCCAACGCATGTGTGTGGTGAGATATGGCGTAACTCGGCAGCTATAGAACCAGCAAGTTAGTATCTGAATAATCTGCCGAGAACGCATGCGTACTCACGGCTTGACACATCACTTCACAAGAGGAGTTATCACCGTTAGGGCTAGAAGATACGAAGGAAGAGAACCAGAAGCTCCAGTCTCAGGGATGGAGTAATTAGTTCTAGGCTCGGATTCATCAGCTCTAAGCCTTGTCATCTCTGGTGATTGTGCAGGTGAACTGGTCAGCCCAGCTCTTTTCTTTTATTGGAAAATAACTGCCCACGTCTTGCAAAAACAGTTGTGTTATTTTTCTTTACCCGAGTAGTTGGATTAGTTTGAGGATTGCTATCGGTGGAGCTGTGGTTTGTGTTGTAACTAGAGCAATTGTTATCAAGAGATATGAGGTCGGTTGGGGTATTCTTATTTCTCGTTAGGTTCATTCTTCTACAAGATATAGAGTCACGAAGTGAACGGCTTACTTTGAGCGTATAGCGAGCGATCCGGGACATCCTTCGAGATATAGTCCGGGGATTCGGAGCATTCCATAGCACAAGCTCTGGCGTCGTAATCGCAATGTTGGTCTGGATGCTACGATATGCGTATTTCCAGCACTTCTCGTCTTTGTAGCAGGTGAGCTTGGGAATCCCACTCAAGGCATTAGGATCTCTCTTGATAATGATATTAACTTCCTGTTAAAGTCGGTGGCTTCTAGTAACACATGTCATAATATCCTGCTCTTATTTAAAACGTCAGACTCATTGCAACACTCAAATTCGCTATTAAAAACTTCTTAAGATAGTCCAGATCTAGTCTATAACAAAACATGGAAGGACAAAAAAAACAACACAACATCCTACTTCTGCAGAGCGCAGATCCCAACTTCATGTCATTAACGGATCCGCTAGCCCAGATGATCTCAACATCGTCAATTCCAAGCCAGCAAAAGATTACAATCTTCGATATCCTTGCGAATTCCCCTTCGGCCCCGGAATTCAATACATGGGTATGGTCTGGATGATGAGTCTTGTGGTTTTTCTTTGGTTACGTTTACAAGAGTTGTAAAATATTAGCTACATCACATAAAAAGCACCTCGATTGGACCCTGACGTTATACTTCGCTATCTCTTATCGGTGTGGGGGATCTGGGTTGTTTAGTCCCTTCCCTCTCGCGAGCATCTTCTCTTCAGTCTCTGCTCAAACCCCCTTCAAACCCTCTTTCTTTGTACACTCAAACTCGAATTATATATCAAAATGGCATACTCGGAGACCAAACCAGCCGTTATCTGTGTATTGTGAGTCATACCCCTCACCGCCACCTGGGCACTTTCGAGGTCACAACACCATATCGTCTAATCTGGCGTATATGACTCCCAGACCCCAGATGTTGCATATACCCCTTACTACCTTGAAACATTAAACTAACAAAACCCCCTCGGGTCCACAGCTGCGGCTCCGTGCCAGGAAACAGCCCAGTACATATGGAAGCGGCCCGAACCCTCGCCGAAGAATTCCATAAACACAATGTGCAATTAGTCTACGGCGGTGGCACAACGGGCCTGATGGGCGAAGTAGCGCGCGCGCTGGTCTCGCTCTCGGGCCCAAAAGCCGTACACGGCATCATCCCACGCGCACTAGTCAAAATTGCAACCGTCGGCGCCATGCGCGACCACCACGAAGGCCAGTCCAGTGCGGAAGGACCTGGCAAAGCCGCCGAGCGGGTTATCGATGCTTCTGATGCTAATGGAATCCCCGAGTCGGAGTACGGCGTTACAACCATCGTCGCCGATATGCATACGCGCAAGCGTATGATGGCAGAGAAGGTCCTCGAAGGTGGGCCTGGGTCTGGGTTTGTTTCGCTGGCTGGTGGGTTTGGAACTATTGAGGAGGTCATGGAGATGACGACGTGGAATCAGTTGGGGATTCATAAGGTTGGTGTTGTGTTGTTGAATATCAATGGGTACTGGGATGGGTTGTTGGCTTGGGTGCGCAATGCTGTGAAGGAGGGATATATCAGTGCTAGCAATGGGGAGATTCTTGCAGAGGCCAAGGAGGTTTCCGAGGTCTGGCCGAAGTTGCTGGCTTATCAAGTCAGTAATGGGCGGATGCAGTTGAACTGGGGAGAAGAGTGAAGTTGCTCTGTTTGATCATCAAACAATGGGGCGTTTGGATATCAATATCGCCCCGTTAGTTTCGGGGTTTGTTTCGGGGTTTTTTTGGGTTTCGGTGGTGGAAAATTTCAGTGGACATATGAATATGCACAAGTAGATTACTTCGTTAGAGGGGCCTTGTGAATTGATGATTGAATAACTGAGGTTCTTGGACGCAAACACAAGACAAAGCATAATCAGGATTTCATGTCTATGCGAATCATTAAACCAAATCAAACAATTATGAATCAACCTCCATGGACTCGCCCTCCGCACCAGCGGACTCACGCTGCTCCAGCACCTCAAGCAGCGCAGCCGTGTCCTGGCCCTCGTACAGCTTGAAGCTCTCCTTCTTGCCATTAGTCACACCGACAACACCAACAGAAGTATTGTCCACCGTAAGCTCCTTATCCTGAGACAGCGTTTCCTTTAGCGCGCTCAGCCCATGCTGGATCAGCTCGTCGCGACTGCAGTCTTCGAACTTGTCGAGGTTTCGCTCCAAATACGTACGCGCCATCTGCGAACGGGCACCGATGGCACAAGCAAGCATCTCGTGTGTCAGCCCAGAGGGCTGGAACTCGAACAGATGCGGGCCAGCCTCGTCAACACCGGCAACCAACAGACCCACACCGTACGGCCGTTTCCCGTACTGCTGGGTGTTGGTCTGCGCGCGGTCGCCGATCTGGGCAACGATTCGATCCAGGGGAATGGGCCGGCCGTAGGTCATCTTCGATCCGAGGGACTGCTGCTTCATGAAGTTTGAGAGGACGCGGGCGTCTGATGCAAGGCCGGCGATGGCGATCGCCATGTGCGAGTCGATCTCGATGATCTTCTTCTGGTACGAGGAGAGCTCTTCTGCATTGCGCTAGAGGGCATTCAAATGTTAGTTTTGACGGGTTGACCTGTTCGTTTTCTGTTGTAGGTCTGCGAACCTTGAGTCCAACCAGCACGGCATGTGTCTTATTCACCAATCCCACGACGACGGATCCTTGCTTCACTGCTTCCTGTGCATATTCCACTTGAAATATCCGACCCTGTGGAGAGCTGAGATCCTTCGAGTTAGCATCTGATGAATCCGAGGGAGGTCGGGTACCTGGTCTTACAAGGTGACGGCATCGTTGTCGTAATTGTTTCTGAACATCGTAGCGGAAAGGGTTGAATGGATATCAAAGCAAACAGAGAAAGTGGATTATTGTTGATAAATAAAGATTCAGGAACAGCGACTCAAGAATCCGAGGGATAATCCGGTGATGGAGGGAGAATGGGGGAGCTGGAGCAGGCAGTAAAGTGACGCGGTGTGAAGCATGAGCTGTTGGTGCCTGAGGCCACAATATCCAGTGACCTTCAGGCGCCAACGTCACTCATTCTCGAGCTCATCTCCAGCTTATCGCTGTACTGTCCCTCTTTGATATCCTGCACTCGGCCAATGGGGCAGTAATTTTTGATCTGCTCTTGATATTGTCTCCTGGTTTCACCCAGTCCAACAACTCCTACCCCTCCCACCTTTAGTCTCATCGAACGGGCTTCGGCGTCTCCGCAATCATGGCCGCTGGACTCAAGACCATCATCGCGCTCTCCTTTGTATGTTTCCTTTCCACGTTTGCCTGGCTTCTAAATATACACTAACATCTGAGCAGGTTCTCGCAATTGGATTCCTCCTCGTTATTCTCTCTTCCGCGCTATGGCACCGGTACTGGCCGTTGCTGGTGGTCGGCATCTATGTTGTTGCGCCGCTCCCCAACTGGATCTGCCAACGATGCGCAAACCCAGATGATTTCATGGACAGCTCGAGCAACTCCGCGATGGACTTTGGACGGTTCATGACCGGATTTTTGGTTCTTACTGGTATCGGTACGTCGTTGGTTCCGTCAACAATACCCCCTCTTGTGGGACAAATCATTCCCCGAATGGTCGGCTCTTGATGTCTAGACTACAATCTGTCTATATTAGTTGGCCCATTGCACCATTGATCAATATTCAACTGACCTCTCCCTTAGCACTTCCTATCGTCCTCGCCCACAGCGGCGCAATCGAGATTCCAGCGATGATCATGTCTATTTTCGGTGGCCTTTTGATCTATGGCACCATTATTAGCTTCTCAATGTTCTTCCAGGAACAGGAAGAGTTCTGATCGCCCAGACTGGATAAGGCGGGGTTGCCAAGGACTAGTATACCTATACTGTAGGCCAGTTGGCCTCGCGGCATCCGGCCTTCATGATGATATCTGTTTTTCTACTGTTTCTTTTGATTTCAGCGTATGCTTGATATGCTTTGTATGAGTGATTTGGTGCGGGGGTGTGCCTCACTTTAAATGGCGATGGCTCCAACACCTGGCTGTGCTACTCTAGGTGTACTATAACCCAATGGATATAGAAAATTCTTCTGAAAATCGAGGAATGTAAACCTACCTTGTTTTTGAAATTGTTCACAATTATTCCCTTCCAACTGATAATTTTCGTATGATCTATGAAATGGTCCACGTGACCGCGCGCGGACTCGGCGCGTCTGAGAGATTCGGAGATAGCAGCAGATCAGTTTAGAAACAACACAACTATACAAAATTGATATCACCATGCTGAACACATGAAACATCTTTCCGGGATCCAGGTAACAAGATGAATGTCTGGACAGGATCCATTCCTCTCAACTCGGACTCCAAGTTAGAAGGTAAACCCCACGCGTATCGCATCTTATTCTTCGCTGACCACTTTACAAGAGATTCGGTTGGTCGATCCGAATTCCTACTGGCAGTCCGAGCTATCCAAAGAGTCCCAACTCAATATCTGCAGCTTCGTCAATCCAGCGCTCATCCCACTGCATGCACGAGCCGGTCCTAACCTCGAGCTACACACATCCCACGCGGGGACATCAAAATGGCTTCAGAGGAAGCTAACAGGCGCCCTCTGGCTAAATGAAGAAGATCCAACACTCCAGCAATCGTTACAATGCCCAGTCGGTCTGCTGGTCAGCGTCGAAGGCAACACCAAATCAGGCAACGCAAGCCCAACAAGCCTATTAGTCTACGGCGTGCTATCCAGCGCAGCATCATGTACACGCCCACCCACCCCGCCGCATTCATCCCCCTCCGAGATCCCAGGCCACGGCAATACACCACAACGTGCTCCCTACGAACTCAGAATCTATGCTGCACCACTATCAACTTCACGACTCACCCAGGCCCAAGCCTACCCATCTCCGCCACCCTCCAACCCAGACCAACCCATCGCCAATCCGCGCTGCGCGGAGTTCCTACCAGACATAAGCTCTCCCAGCCCCAAACGCAAAAGGGTAGCAACACTCTTCGAAGTAGCCGCGCAGCACCACCGCCGCGTCCGCCAGCGAGGCGGCGAAGCGGTCTCACAACTAATGGCACCTTCACGACCTCTTTCCTCATCACAGAATCTGCAAACACTTCGCATCAAGCGCGAGCCTGAAGAAGATGCTCCCTCCCTCCCATCTCTCGACCGGATCGTCTCGCACCGTTCCCGATCCGTCTCTATCGGGGCAGGCCTACATCGCCCAGGTAGCGTGCGCGGCCGCGCAACACCAGGCCTCAACGCCGATCCGCAGAAGCGTGCTCCAACGCCGAACCCATTCTTAGATTCTAGTCTGCGTCGTGGGTCACAGATGTCGCAGAGCCAAGGCCCGTCGTCTCTTTCGTTCTCAGAGGAGAAACCGGTGTCTACACCAGGCTCGCCGGCTAAGGATCCCGATACTGTGATTGCGGAGAATAAGAATCTCATCACACGCACGATCTTGACCTGTATGCGCCTGTATGGATTCCACCGTGCAAATCCGAATATGCGCTCTGCGTCCATAAGCAAACCGCCAGGTGGGGCTGGATTGGAGCCTGAAGCTGATGTATCGGGTATGACGCCGGCGCCGGAAGCTTTACGTCCGGAAACGCCTGCGCCGGGTACCACTGCGGATGATGATGAGTTCAAGGCTATGTACCATGCGACGTATAAAGCTGCTGCTTTTGCGCTCCGCAAGTATTTGAAGCAGACGCCGGAGTTGGCACCTTTGGTCTTGGAGAAGGAGAAAGCTATGACTTGTATTGATGAGTTACTGAGGTTGTTCTGCGAGGATCACTGAAGGGACTTAAGGCAGTGTGGGAAATGGTGGTTTTTACGATTTTATGAATGCATATCTGGGCTTGGGCGTTCAAAGGGCGGCTTAGGGCCCTCTTTTTTTTTATGCATAGTTGCAATGATACTTTTCTCAATAATGTCTAACTCTAACAATGACATTCTAGATATTTCAAAGACCGTCATAATAAGTACTCTTAATTTGAGACAACGTGAAAGGTAAGAGAAATGCAAATGAATTCATGCTAAAGCGCCAATCCCAGCCAAAGATGCGGAGGCATATCATGCATCCCGGCAAAAAGTCATCACACCAAGAAGATCGAGTAGAATACAGAAAGACAAGTTATAGATTGAAATACCCCGCCTTACAGTGCAAGATTGTAAGTGTAGTCATCTTCGATGTTCTGAGAGACCCAGAGAACGATCGAGCTAGAATAATAATGTTAGTATGAAAGTACGACTTCAAATCGAATGAGATCAAATCAGATAAGACACGTACCTGAGCATAACAAGGCCGTTCGCCACAATATTCGCAATTCCAAAGTAGAGCGTCTGGATAGGATAATCCTTGATGAGGTACTTGAGGACCATAACCGTCTACGAAGAAGCGAGAGTCAGCAAAGCCCCCGAATACCACCCACACCCTCTCCACAGGTATACGTAGTAGGAAAAAAACATATACATACCACACTCCCAGCCAGCCCACCAGCAAGCAGCGCAAAGCCCAAAAACAGCACAAATCTCGCCTTCCACGCAACCCCACTCCCGCTGTAACTAAAGCTATCAGCCTGCAGCCGGCTCTTTTCAATCGAGTTGATAACCAGCATTCCGAGTGCAGAGCAGATACCCGGGATCCAGTCGACAAATTTGATATGCACGTCTGAGCCGTTGCGCGGGCTGCGCGAGAATGAGGCGACGTCGATTAGGAAGAAGAAGCCTGCTGCGAACTATGGTAAGAGGGGCTGTTAGCTTTGGATTATTCTGGTTTGTATTTATTTGAGGAAGGTAAATGATTCAATTCTATTTCACTTTGCTTTGGAGTTGATTATCGCGACGAGCGACCCCGGAGGGTGGAGGTGGAGATGGATCGGATGCTTACCAGCGCGCCTGCGACGTAGACGCCGCCATTGCGGACGGCAGAGTTATTCAGCCACTCAGGCTTGGAGAAGCGGAAGAGTCGGTTGCTTGAGCTGTCCATTTTTGGGATGTGTGGGGATGGGATCTTGATTGAGGGGATGTTGCTGGTGAGAGCTGGAGTCTAATGACGATGTCTGGGTGGAGAAATGTTGTTCCGATATATCTATGCATATCATCAACCAACGGCAACATGAGCTCTAATCTGTAGCGAATTGATATCTGCTTCTCTTGAGATCTCTCATCAATCATCTACGGTATAGTATGTATTGATTGGGTTATTTGAGCTGTACTATTACAGCAACCAAACGGCACAAATTAGGCAGCATAGGCATCCAAGTAGATACATGGATGGATCCAGGTATCTGGAGATGGACATTGACAGTCGAAATTCGTGATTGCATTTATGGTAGGACAAAATCCCTGGGTATGATAATCGAAATATATGCTTATGCCACAAAAATTCAAGTTGGTTGATCATGCCGATGCAACCCTCGGGCAACCAAGTAACCAGAAACCAACGCAGATCCATTTCGGGTATCTGCACGTCAAATGATCGCCGGCATTTACCAGCAGTGAAGCCTAGCGTCGTCATCACAGCGCTCAAAGCGGTTACAGTAACATCTTAGTTGCCTGTCGCACTGTGAGCGCCAACCCTTGGCACGACACACAGCCAGTCCCAGGGGATGAACTCGCATTTAGTGGGTATCTTGCTGCCTCTGTATCTTTGGGTATCTTAACTCTTACAGTCCAGTCACAGCTGGACCCTTTTCATGCAGAGGCGTCGACCGGGTGGGACCGCAGCTTATCAATGATGGCATCAATGCCGTCCATGTCGGCGGCGTCGGTCTTGTCGGTGGGATAGCCCTCTGGGAGGCTCTTGTTCAGTGCATCCAAGGCAGGCTGGTGGTTACGGACTGCGGAGGAGATGGCGTAAACGGCCTTCTTGCGGGCTGCGGGGTTGGAATCTGTCGTGGCGAGGGTGACGAGGGTAGGAATTTCGTTCAGGAGGACGAGCTGATGGATATGTCAATAATTATCATGCTTGGTAGATCAATTGGGGTCTTTCCATACCTGTTCCTGTGCCTTCGGGTTATTCTGCACAGCTGTTCCCACACACCAGGCCGCGTAGCGTCTGATCTCAGCCTCATCGTGCTTGAGGAGCTCGACAAGCGGCTTCCATAGATTGAGCGGGACGAGGTTGTTCGCATTGTCAATTCCCTCAATCATCTGCTCGAAGTTGTCGAATGCAATCAACTTGTTCTCCAGGTCGGACTCGTTGTCGTGCACGACCTCCATCGCAGCCCGCATCAGGTCGGCATCGGAAGGGCCACCAAAGAGTGTGTTGACCATCTGCGGGGTCAGGTTTGAGGCAGCTGCCGGGAGATTAGGGGCGCTGCCCTCGCCATCGGCACCTGCAGATGCCTGGGAGTTGGCGACACTCCATTTGAGGAGCTTGTTCATTTCGGGGTCCATGGTGGGCTGGCGGGGTAATTGTGCTGGCGGGTGTAGGTATTGGTTCTGGGGGAAGGCTAAAGAAGAGGATGGTATGAAGAAAGTCTGTGTCGGTCACAAATTGATTTACTGTGTATCACACAGTATTGTTGCAAACGCGATCTTCTCCCAATACTTTTCTACTGGAAAAAACCCCGCTGACATAATCTGACGTTTCGGGGAGGGCTCTGGGTGATTCGCGCGGCGACCAGCGGGTTCGATCATGTGACCATGTCCAAAATCGTGGAAAAAAAAAAAGGAACTGAACTCATCATAGACTACAATATGGAATGTACGCTTTCTTTAAGAAGTGGTAAAGTAGTGTTGTGCATTTGTGTATACTGGCATAGGAGGGTATATTATGAAGCCGAGTGATCTTCATCCCAAATTGTTGAGTTACGAACTGTTTTCAGTCTTGGCCCACGTAATGCATATTCGGTTTCAGGTCAATCCCTTCATAGTAACCCTCAAGATAGGAAGATCTAAAAGAATGGTATCAAGCTTTGTTTCGGCTCGAATGAAAGCTCCTAATGGGTGTGTGTGATTTTCAAACGCGTGGAACCGTTGAGCGGATAGCTCGGTGGGCCTAAGCCATCTCAGACTGGAAATCTAGACTAAACAACCGACGACGGCGTGAATTCGATAGTGATAGGAATAATCGGGCCCTCGTGCTGGTGATATATCATGACAAGGTCATGGCTTTTCAGATGAAAGTACATATGTAACCTTCGAATGTTCCAGAACCCGGTTATCAAAGTTGAATGCCAAGATATATTCCAAGGGGCTGAAAGTTCAGCTTTTTTTGTTACCGATAGAGGTCAAATGGCATTCTCAGATATGGTCAAAGTGGGCTGACGCAATTTCATTTTGTAAAATCAGGAGATATAAAATAGGAGTCAAAGTCAGGGGTGAATAGAAAAACGAGTGTACTTCCTCCCCATATCACGTGGCACCTTACCGCCTCACCCAGGCTTTTTTTTTTCTCTTCAAAGGGAAAGGAAATGGCGGTAACAGACAACTCAGGCAATCCGAGACTCTCAGATAGCCGTATTATCCCGTACTTATCCACTTTCCAACAACCTTGGGTCTACCCCAAGTGAAGTCTGGGTCCGGTATGTCCTATACTTAGAACACGCCACTGGCCTCAGGGAATCCAGTAGCCTTGAGTTGGACTGGATGCTTTGCTGTTGTAATCGTTGTAATACAAGTCACTAAAATAACTAACCCGGTCAAGGTACGTGTTCCCCCCCCCCAGAAGGATCTGACAGGCCCCCCAAGATTGTCCACGCAATGCTTTAGGTAGACAAGATTGAAGGAATCAAAAGACGAGAAATTCATATTGAAAATAGTTCTGCCTTATTCTCATTTATATATAAAAAAATAAAGTACCCCGAAATTTGTAGATCAGAGGGGGTAAAAAGAGAAGGCCTCAGGCAGCGCACAATCCCAGCCATCACAAACCCCTCTCCACTCTTCTCTCTCACTCTCTTCCTCCTTCCCTTCTCCCCTAATCCCAACTATATCCGCCCCTCTAACCTCATTCCATCTTTCTTTTCTTTTTTCCCTTCTCCCCTAGGTTCCTTGTTTAATCTGTCACAATGGAGGGTACGTTATTCTTGATGTGGCCACATCAGCAGCTTCCCCGGAAGCTGCCCCCCCCCCTACCCAGCTTCGAATCTTGCGAATGAGAAACTAACCTGTATATCTCATTATAGAAGAAGTTGCTGCTCTCGTCATCGACAATGGGTATGTGCTACGCTTTCTCCCCCGGAGCTTCTGGCTTGTGTTTGGGCCTGGTCGTCAAACCAGCACGGTCGCGGTCGTCGCCACCCCTAATCCGCCACGACCGCAGATGGAATCCATCCCAATGGCTTTCCACATCCCTCCACAACTGCCAGACGGCGCTCCCAAGTCTACAAGAACTATGATACTGATGATTTGCGATGTAGTTCGGGTATGTGTAAGGCCGGTTTCGCCGGTGACGACGCACCACGAGCTGTCTTCCGTAAGTTCAACCCCACAGAATATGACACCCCTCCCTTGCAAAGGCCGCCATCCCACCAACCCTTGCGTCGGATGGCTTTTCCCCTCTTCGCTTGGGAGTAGCCTTGAATATGAGGATAAAATAACTAACAAAATTCGATAGCCTCCATTGTCGGTCGTCCCCGTCACCATGGGTAAATAATCCCCCCTTTTTTTTGGCTCATTTTTAGCTGTATATGGAATATACAGCCAACTTGATCCGCAATGAAAGGAAAAATAATACTAACATGGGCGCAGTATCATGATTGGTATGGGTCAGAAGGACTCCTACGTTGGTGATGAGGCACAGTCCAAGCGTGGTATCCTCACGCTCCGTTACCCCATTGAGCACGGTGTTGTTACCAACTGGGATGACATGGAGAAGATCTGGCACCACACCTTCTACAACGAGCTCCGCGTTGCCCCCGAAGAGCACCCCATTCTCTTGACCGAAGCTCCTATCAACCCCAAGTCCAACCGTGAGAAGATGACCCAGATCGTGTTCGAGACCTTCAACGCACCCGCTTTCTACGTCTCCATCCAGGCCGTTCTGTCCCTGTACGCCTCCGGTCGTACCACTGGTATCGTTCTCGACTCCGGTGACGGTGTCACCCACGTTGTCCCCATCTACGAGGGTTTCTCTCTGCCCCACGCTATCTCGCGTGTCGACATGGCTGGCCGTGATTTGACCGATTACCTGATGAAGATCCTCGCTGAGCGTGGTTACACTTTCTCCACCACCGCCGAGCGTGAAATTGTCCGTGACATCAAGGAGAAGCTTTGCTACGTCGCTCTCGACTTCGAGCAGGAGATCCAGACCGCTTCCCAGAGCTCCAGCCTCGAGAAGTCCTACGAGCTTCCCGATGGACAGGTCATCACTATTGGTAACGAGCGCTTCCGTGCCCCCGAGGCTCTGTTCCAGCCAAACGTTCTTGGCCTTGAGTCTGGCGGTATCCACGTCACCACCTTCAACTCCATCATGAAGTGTGATGTTGATGTCCGTAAGGATCTGTACGGCAACATTGTCATGGTAAGAAAAGCCCCTAGAGTTGAACTTGCACAAGATCCCCTACTAACGTGTACCTCTTTTTTTTCTAGTCTGGTGGTACCACTATGTACCCCGGTATCTCCGACCGTATGCAGAAGGAGATCACTGCTCTTGCTCCTTCTTCCATGAAGGTCAAGATCATCGCTCCCCCCGAGCGCAAGTACTCCGTCTGGATCGGTGGATCCATCCTGGCCTCCCTGTCGACCTTCCAGCAGATGTGGATCTCCAAGCAGGAGTACGACGAGAGCGGTCCTTCCATCGTTCACCGCAAGTGCTTCTAAGCTTCTTGCAGCACTTTTCTACTCGTATTCGCTCGTACTTTCCTGGTGTATCAAAAAGCAGGATGGAGGCACTGGTGGATTGCAAGCGTTGTTGGACTCGCATTATCAAGCGGATAGCCTGAAAATGGAATCTCGATTTTAGTGGAATAGAGTCGGTCGTTTTCTTTTTGTTACTCATTACCTTACTCTTTATCTCGATCTCTCTATCCAACCATCTCTGCTTTGAAACATTTTATTATCTTTACAGTTCTCTTTTTTTTTCATTCATTCGAATCCGTTGCCTCGTCCACCTCTGATTGTTTTGCCTGGACGGGTCTCTGGCGCTACGGCGACAATGGTCTACCTGTAGGGCGAGGATGTATATGGAGTTGGTTTGGCTATAGGGCTTAAGATGCGCTTTTCTTTTCTCTCAACGTCTTCGGCGTCTGCCTTTGTGTTAGCCCCTTGTGTTGTCAACTAAATTGCCCGCCTTTGCCGTAGTTTTTAACGTGACTTTGACTTCAAATCTTCCACTGCTGTCTTGTATTCTCCTAGAAACCTGTCGATAAACCTAATGCTTCTTGTTAGAATGTCTTCTGCGCATTACACTCTGGCTTTTTAAAGAACATCATTTGTCTTGACCTTATCCATATTAAGTCTTTACCATAACCGATATATATCATTTCTATCACTCAATCATTCCATAGGTATCCTAGGCACTAAATGAACAAACTGGAATAGGAAGCACTCATATATAGTCAGCAACTTTGAATTTATAAGTCCTTCACTTCTACTTCGTCAATTCTTAGGGCCACTAGATCTAATATCGTACGTCAGCCCTTGAGTTAAAGTCTTCTTCTTTACCGTTTGCTCTAGTTATTCTCGAAGTACATGGCTTGATTATCAGCAGGGACATGCTCGTCATTACAATCAGCGATTCGTAGTCTTGGAGGAGAATAGGATCCTTATATAACCTGATTATTCCCAAGGTTGCTAGCCTTGATTGTGTAGATGCCTATGTATACAGAACCATGTCAGTATTAAATCCATTTAATTTAGTAAAGACTAGATATATATACACAGAGGAAGAAAATAGGATAAGACATTGAGCATATTCCGGAACTCTTCATTTTGACAACTAGGAAACCTGGGTACTTCTCGATGGACAAAGTAAGCCGGGCTTCCCTCAGCATGTTCTGTGCCCATTCAGTGACGCTGAGTCCAGCGCGTACATCACGCCAGGAGTAGATAAATGTCGGGGCCATTACCTTGACAATTGCCTCCGTGGTTCGTGGCTTGAATCGTTTCTCGAGGGTGGCGTACCAGCCAAGTTGTAGTGAGCGAACACCTAAATCCTGTCTCTCTTCGTCCGACAGTTCCGCGCGGTACCACCGGGCGGCTGCTTCTCACAGGCATGAAGGCAGATTTGCGCGGACACCTTCCTCGGATTTCAATGGGACAAGAGCCTTAAGCTGGTTAATGAAGGCGTAGACATTCATGTAGTGCGTGGTTCCCCTAAAGGTGCGGACGTGTGTATCTGACGTAGGGTCTGGGGTGAAATAGCCGATGTCGACCGTCTTCCAGGACCCGGTACTCTGAGGGGCATCTTGGCCGTCTCGTCCGGGTGGCTCTCGGATTTCATCACGACGGGTTGTGATTACCTCGTCCACAATCGTCACACGTCACCTTATCGAGGGTCGAATCAAGCAAAATATACACTGGGAACAGAGTATATTGGTGCTGTCCTTGCCGCGATTGAGTTCGAATCAGTTTTGTCGTGATGGTATAGGTCGAAGAGGACGGAGTAGGGGCGGCAAACAGGAGGGTAGGAGTAGTCGAGAAGAGGGATGTTAAAGGGATCTAGGAGAATGTTTAAATGAGAGTGAGTGATGGTAGGGGAAGGTTGTTTGGAAAGAGGGTTCAGTGAGAGCAGAGTGAAGTAAAAGTGAGAGGGATAGGAAGAGGTGATGAGTACATTGAGTAGCTTCCCTGCGAAGGGTCAGGAGTGCGAAGTTGGACAGAAACAAGGATCGGAGTATCAACTCAGAATTACAGCACACATCTAACATATACATCAATAGAATTCTTTTAAAACAGTATATATAATTTCATGCATCATGCATCATGTAGAAAAACCGGCATTAGTTCGGGACGCATCCAAAAGCCCTATATTATGATGGGCCCCAAGCAAAGAAAGACGGGGAATACGAAGAAACCAGAAAAAGTAACAGTGACAAAAAAAGATCTATAAGATAGATAACCCAGGCAAATCATTTTCTCCATCCATATATAAAGCATCACGCATCAACATCACCAACATCAAAATTTTCAAGTCAAGGTCGTAAAAATTACGAAGACCAAGACTCAAGTCCAGACAGGACACAGCCCTCTTCGCCCTCGCCCCGAGCACGCAGCTCACCAACGCGGTAAACAGACTCACCAGCAGCCTCGAAGGTCTGACGGATAGCGGCCTCGGAGGCGGGGTCGACGGCAATGATCATACCAACACCACAGTTGAAGGCACGAGCCATCTCAACAGAGGAGACGTTACCGGCACGCTGGAGCCAAGTGAAGACAGAAGGCTGGGCCCAGGTGCTGACGTCAACCTGAGCAGTGAGGGAGTCGGGGAGCATGCGGGGGATGTTCTCAGTGAGACCACCGCCGGTGATGTGAGCAAGACCCTTGATGGCAGCACCGTGGGTGTTCAGTGCGCTGAGGATGGACTTGACGTAGATGCGGGTCGGGGTGAGGAGGGCACGGCCGACGGAGACGCCGGCGTCGAGACCGGGCATGGAGAAAGGTGCGGGGTCGGTGTAGCTCAGGCCGGCACGCTCGACGATCTTACGGACGAGAGAGTAGCCGTTCGAGTGGGGGCCGGACGAGCCGAGCGCGAGAAGAACATCGCCAGCGCGCATGTTTTCTGTGTGCGGGAGGATGGCACGAGCGTTGTCACCCGTGGTGTTAATAGCGCCGACGGCGGCACCGACGGCATCGTAGGAGTCGTCGACGAAGAGGCCGGGCATCTCGGCGGTCTCACCGCCGATCAGGGCACAGCCAGCTTGGACACAGCCCTCGGCAACACCATGAACGAAGGCTGCAGCGGTGGGCACGTCAAGGTGACCGCAGGAGTAGCAGTCCAGGAAGAAGAGGGGCTCGGCACCTTGGACGACGAGATCGTTGACGTTCATGGCGACAAGATCGATACCGACGGTGTCATGGATGCCGATTGAGTGGGCGATCTTGAGCTTGGTGCCGACACCATCAATGGCTCCAATTAGGGTTGGGGAGTGAGGGTGGTACGCGGAGTTGGCAGCGGGCAGGGAGAAGAGACCACCGAAGCCACCGATGACGGCGTCAGTGCCGGGGCGCTTGGTACGGCGGACAGAGCTCTTGATCTGGTTGACGAGCTCGTTGCCGGCGTCGATGGAGACACCGGCTTGGGCGTAGGTGAGCGAGGTGCTGGCGGTCTGGCGGAACGCGCGGTGGGCAATGTCCTTGCGGTAGAACATGTCCTCAAAGCTGATGGTCTTGATTCCTTCGTAACTCTTAGCAACGGCCTCCTCAAGGGTTGAGGCGGTGGCCGTGGAGGCGATTACGCGGCCTCCAGAGGTTTGCAACTCGTTGCCGGACAAAGTTGTACCAGCGTGGAAGATGAGGGTTCCAGCAGGCTCGGGGGCCAGAGTGATGGTCTTGCCCTTGGCATAGGCGTTGGGGTAGCCGCCAGCAACAGCAATGACGGTGGTGGAGAATTTGGGCTCGATCTTGATTGAGACACCGTCCAGCCAGTGGTCAGCACAGGCCACCATTATCTGTGCAAGATCGGTGTCCTTGCTGAGCAGGGGCAGCAGAGTCTGGGTCTCTGGGTCTCCACCGCGGACATTGTACTCAAGGACCTTGGGTCCATTCTTGGTCATCATGAGACCAGTGAACAAGATACCAACAAAGGGGAAGCCTGGACAGGATTAGCAACATGCTTTGGGCATGTATATTTTATTAAAAAAACGTACCGTCCTTTCGCATTCCGTCAACGGAAGGCTGAATGATGGTCCGGTCAATCTCATCCACAACCTCCTTCGGCGCAATGCGGGTAGGCGCGTAGCAGCCCATGCCACCGGTGTTGGGGCCTTGGTCGCCATCGAAGATGCGCTTGTGGTCTTGCGCTGGAGGAAGCGAGCGGATGGTATAACCGTCACTGAAAGTGAGGATACTCAGCTCATCACCCTCCAAGCACTCCTCGATCACGACCTCGTCACCAGCCTTGCCGAACTGGTGGTCCACCATCATTTCCTTCAAGGCCTTGTGGGCCTCCTCTTTGGTAGTGGGCATGATGACACCCTTACCACCAGCCAGGCCATCGGCCTTGATGACCACATTGTGCGATACAGAGTCAAGGTATTGACGTGCGGACTCGTAGTCAGAGAAGTTGCCGAATTCAGCGGTGGGGATCTGGTGACGCTGCATGAAGTCCTTGGAGAAGGTCTTGGAGCCCTCCATGCGGGCAGCAGCCTTGGACGGACCGAAGCATCGAATTCCGACTATTTTCAAGAGACATTGTTAGAATCATTCAAACCAATTGGCGTAAACAACAGGAGAAAAAAAATAAGACCAAAAAAAAAAAAAAAAACAGAAAATGGCATGTGACTCACCAGCCTGGAAATAACCCTGGATGCCATCAACGAGAGGTGCTTCGGGGCCTGGCACCACGAGGTTCACCTGGTTCTTCTGTGCGAATGCCACGAGGCCGGGGTAATCGTCACCCTTGATATTGGCATTGGTGATCTTGCTGTTGCCCCGGCCTGTGCCACCGTTTCCGGGAGCAACATAGATGATGTCGACCAAGGGGGACTCGCTCAGCTTCCAGGCGAAAGCATGCTCACGGCCACCATTGCCAACAATGAGAATGCGCAATTGTTCGGAGGCCATGGTTGGAGCTGGGTCTCGACTTTGGTGGTGTTAGCAAGTACGTAGGAAATTCCCGCGGGGTATGTAGGTAGTGCCCCTCCTCAAGGAAAATGAGTCATAGAGCAATGGGATGGAGGTGAACGATTTGAAAAAGATTTGATAATAAGAAAATCGACAGCTTACTTACCTCACGGAGACCTTATAAGCAAATTGAAACAGCTTGTATGCGAGAATGAAGAGTCCAAAGATGTTAAACTTTATTCACCTTTTTTTCTGCCCTCCGGCTGGGTGTTTCTCCGACCCTAGAAATCCAGCCCTGCGATCTCGGCCAGTATCTTATGATAAAGGCCTGAAATATATTTGTATTTGTATAAATTTGATTGAATTGAATTGACTTAAGTGTTTATGATTTTATGTGTCTTGTATCATACTGGATAAGATTGTAGGATTAGGATTGCAATTGCAATACTCTATATAAGTCTTGAAGAACATTGATTTTGTATATACATATATAGTTTGATAACACTCTACACATCCTCAATTGATATATGAAGCATATAAAAAAACCAATATCCCATTACTCCGTACTCTGGACTATATTTTCTGATATATATTGCCTCAGGCACCGAGATAACGAAGCGGTGACTCCAATCTTCCGGCAGAAAAAAAACCCGGAGAGGCAATTCGCCCCGGTGGCTTATTGACGGCTTTGTTGAATTCTTGAATTGTCGTCTCGAAGTACATTTGGGAGACTACGTTTATACCCATCCCCAGATTATTCCTCGACCGTTGACCTGAATGCTTCGGACCTCTTTGCGGTCTGTCTCAGGCCGTTCAAGCCGACATGTTTGTCTCTCCTGTCTAGCGCGCCCTGGTACACTCGGTTTGCGCCAGTTTCATCGCATATCTGCTCTCCGTACCGATTCAGGTGAAACGAAGCCGGAAGTCAATTTACTTGACGCGTCGATCGAACCTCCAGCGCCATTGCCGCCCAATGTATGTCTTCCATTTCAAAGTACAACGCGAGAACAAGTCCTGACAGAGTGTGCTATAGAGTCAGATTCCAGAGACAAAAGATGGCGCTTCTTCCACACCCCAGAAATCTTCGAGGCAGCCTAACTCACCGAGAGTACTCACTGCTGCTGCATGGGCTCAGATGAATAAAGTCCAACGGAAGAATTACAAATACAGGCATCACGAGTTATTCAACAAGTTCAAGCAGGCAATGCTAGCCAACAGAGAAATGTCACTAAAGGAAGCAGTGGAGTTAGAAATTGCGCGGGCCAAAACAACCGAGCAAGAAGCAGCACCGCTGGAGGCCGCACTGTCAGAGGCGACCCCGTCAGAGGCAGCACGGGTGGAAGCAGAAAAAATCAAGGCCTTGCAACAGAACACGATTGCAACAGAATTGGAAGCCCGACGGGAAAGAAAGGCCAAATTCAAGGCAGAAAAATGGTTGGCTAATGCCAAACATGAGGCTAAAACGTCGAAGGAAAAGGAGAAAGAAAGCCAACTCGAAGCCGAGATTGCAACAGACGGTCCAGAAGATACGTCAGCGGTCAGTGAACCCAAGAAGACGCTCAAATTGAAGTCCAGTAATGTGGTGGCCCAAATATTGGAAACTAGCTCCGAGAACGGTGTTGCAAGTCCAAATGAGCCATCACCCAAGGTCGAGAAAGAGGAGAAGGAGGAAAAGGAAGAGAAGGTGATGGAGGATGTGTGGCTTTCCGAGGATAGGAGTCAATCTCTTCCTTTCCTTGAGGGTCACGTTACATCTAGGGACACTGGGTCTCTTAACTCAAAAGACAAGAGCCTGCAATTGAAAGGTGAGTTTCGAGCTTTGGCATAAATCTGTTGAACTTGGGCTAATTTTATACTCAAGAGGTGCGTACCCCCATGCCTCCTGTCCCACGCGTCGCCTTTGGTCTCGATCGAGTGCTTTTCAAGTGAGTTGTTGAGGTTACCCTATTATTGATCGATATACTAAGAGCAAACAGCCCCGGTGTCTACCAGCTGCGCGACCCTCGGTCTCTTGTCTACAATTTCGACCCCTACCTAGACCAGATCATGCCCGTGTCGGAATTCGACTTTGATACCTTGAAGCCGTACGTCACCTCCTCTAAAGATGTGACGGCTTGCGAAATGACCAAAAAACATGAGAAGAAGTACTATGGCTCGTCGTCGAGCATGACTTCGGTTCTCTCTCATTTCCATTATCTTCTCTCCGCGTGGCGGCCTGTCGACACTTCCAAACTTACTCAGAGTTACGGAGATCCTCTACGCTCCTTCACCCGTCTCCTTCGAGCACCAACTGCCATGTTCCTCCGTTATAATGAGAAGGAGGATATCTACGCCATTGATGCCGACAAGGAATACGACACGGCTAACATCCTTATGCACCTGGGCAAGTCAATGGAGAAACAACTCACGCTGCCAAAGGAAAAGTTTGAGCGCTACCGCCGCAGCGATGCGAACAAGATCACCGCCGAGGAAGAAGCAAGCGTTCCGGAGTCATACCACTACAGTACCATAGGCAAATTCCTCATGCGATCGCAACTTGACGCCTACGACCCCAGACTGCCAGGTACTGGCATGTTCGACTTGAAAACACGTGCGGTAGTTTCGATCCGCATGGAACCCGCGGAGCACCAGCGCGGAATGGGCTACGAGATCAGACGCCGCTTTGGCAAGTGGGAGTCTTACGAACGCGAATACTTCGACATGATCCGCGCCGCATTCCTTAAGTATTCCCTGCAGGTACGCGTGGGTCGCATGGACGGCATCTTTGTCGCGTATCACAACACCGAACGCATTTTTGGTTTCCAATATATCACCCTCGAAGAGATGGATGAGGCTTTACATGGCACGTCCAACACAGAACTCGGAGACACAGAATTCGAACTGAGTCTCGGCCTGTGGGAGAAGATTTTGGACAAGGCAACGGCAAAATACCCCAAGCAGTCCCTGCGTTTCCACTTTGAGACCTGCAATGGTTCCACTCCCTTCATGCACATCATTGCCCAGCCCGTGACGGAGGAACAAATCGACGCCATCCAGTCAAAGAACCAAGCCCAAGTCGATGCCATCACGGAACGCCTCTTCTACCCGGATCGGTTCGAAAACTGCGAGATGACGGAATCAGCCGAATCCAAACCCGTATCTCCAAAAGAGAATACCGAAGCCGAAGCAGACAAGACCGAAGCAGATAAGAAGACCGAAGCGAAATCCATCGGCGATTCCCTGGCCGACGCCCTCTTCCCAATAGACCCGGCCGACAGCACTGTCGAGCAAAGCGCCGAGCCAGAACACGATACCACGAGCGAGCTCCCCGGCCTCAGCCCAGACTCCAAGGCGGGATCCAAGCCCAAACGAAAGCCCAAATTCGTGCCCAACCCCGAATTATCCGCCGATTACGACGAGAACCTACTCGCTATGACACTCGTCATAACCAACAAAGTGAACGGGGTTCGAGTGGAGCGGCCGGGACACTTTACCCAGTCTGACAAATGGACGATTGATTATGAGCTCGACGAGATTGATGTGGTTCAGGGCAATCATACTCTACAGGCGATCAAGAAGCGTCGCAATCTTGTTCTAAGAAAGAACGTGCAAGATCATTCGAATGACTTCTTCGCAAATTTGCAAAGGCTATCTGAGAAAGGACGTGCTTTCCGGAAGCGTTTGAATAAGATTGACCGTGACCGTGGGATTCTTGTTTATAAGGATTCTTGTGATATGGATGTTTAAGCCTTGGGGCGGAGATGGAGGATTGGGGGATGAGATTGGAATCCCTGTTGTAAAGTATTAGATTAATTCCTCTCTCGCATTTTCCCTGTACTGTATATTGAGATAGTTTGGGTATACATTTCGTGGCGTTGTTTCATTACATAGTTGGACTGGATGCGTTCTAGGGTTTTGGTTGGTTACATATTTTGGGTGTTCAACGATGTACAACTTATCATGTTTATATTTTATACCATCATGCAACTCTCCAGGTACGCTTAAACTACAAAGTCTCAAGACTAGATCAAATGGAAAGGAACAATGGTGTTTTCATGTCTATCCAAACAGTATTCAAGTCAAAGCAAAGAACAAGCGCAAAAAAACCACCACAATGAATAGCAAATAGCCCAAAGCCCCAGCCCCAATAAACATTAATGCACACAAGCCATTAAACCGCAAAATAAATGAGGACGAAACCTTCCAATAAGAGCAAGAGAGTCAAAAAGAAAAACAGGCACGATCAAACGGATAGGAGGATATCGATTGCGCTGGTAAGAGATGTTGGGATATGTAATTGAAAATGAGTAGTTAATGAGTATGGAACGCCTGGAGAATGCGGTGTCTCTGTAAAAAGAAATTGGAACGCCAGGGTATCAGTGCTGACTGGCCGGTTTCAAGAAATGGGAATTGGATGGAGGTTGGGTTGATAAGTTATGAGTTAATAAGATAGGAATATGATTCACAGGGAGAAGAAGAAGAAGGCAGGGGTGTGCAATCGAAAGCTGGTTCGTCGTATATATGTACTGCAAGAGCTAGGCTTCGTTTCGTGTTGGGGTGAGGTGTGGAGGATGCTGTACAAGGTAGAAGAGGGGGATAGTTTGATGGAGGTAAGGAAGGCTACTGGAGCTCTCCCAAGTCAAGCTTTGGTGGTGCCCAGTCTAGCCGAGGCGGCTTGTCACTGTTGACATACACATGCGTGGAGCGCACTCCATCCGCACGGCGACGTTCCCTCAGCGCGGTGCCGCTGAGGAAGCCTCTTAGGGTTGACGAGGCGACGCCGTAGGCGCTCCGCGTACTGCCGGCGCCTATTGAGGCGTTGCTGGAAGAACTGCGCGCGCTGCGGACGCTCTCGGCCTTCTGGACTGCTGGGGGCACAGCTGGAACCGGGATAGCCAGGCGAGAAGCTGAGGTTGAAGAACCATGACCGGATGGAACGAATTGTGCAGGAAGAGCGGTATGAGGGCGGCGGGTATCGGATGGAAGGCGTTTTGGTTGGAGGGGGTGGGCTCGATGTTCGAAGAGGACTGGGACAGGGTGTCGGATGCCTCTGAAAGTCGGATGGCAGCAGGAGACTCGTCTGGCAGTGACGATGCTCGGACCTCATCTGCAGACACGGACACGTCAAATTTGAGATTGTCAAGCATCGTGCCCAGGCTCGCTGCTGTCCCCGGTCGTCCATCGCTGGAAGCATCATCATCAATTTCCTCAATCCCATGGGCGATGTTGTAGTTGCGGCGGAGGTATCGATGAAGTCGGGCGACTTCCGAATCCCATCTATCATTCAGAGACCGCAAGACTAGTTCAACGTTGTGGTTGGCGAATGGAGAATTTTCCAAGGCCGAAGCGACGCTAGGCGGCGGTGCTTTGCTCAATCTGTGCCCTTGACCCCCTTGGCCAACGCTCATCGCTGCATACAGAGAGCGACGGACCGAGTTTGCGGTGGAAGTTTGGTTGCTGTTGCCAGACTCCCATCGAACATTATCAACCTCTCGGCGTACTTTATCCAGTGACATGGTTCGATCCCGGCCCATGCAGGAGAGAGTGAGAAGGGAGCGGTTGCACCGGAGGCCGTTGACCAACACCGTAAATGATTGCAGATTAATATCATTGTTTTCACAATGTACTTCACGCAGCGAATCATTCTCCTCCAAGACAGAGGCAAGCGTATTCGCACCTTGAAGACCGAGTTTCTGGTGCTCAATTCTCAGGACCTTTAGAGACTTGTTTTTCTTCAGGCCAGTCAGCGCAAGATTGAGGCCAATGCCGAAGCGTGCAACATCAAGATGCGCATTGTCACCGCTAATGTCCAAAGCCTCAAGAGTCTCATTCTCCTCGAGCATCACCTGCAACGATCGGCAGGTCTCAGGGCTAGCATCATATGGGAGGGAAGCCTTCGAAATATCTAGGAACTTGAGGGTGCTGTTCTTCCGAAGTGAATCCACCATTTGACGGAAATGGTCTTCTTTCTTGAAATCAATCATGCGCATTGACAGATGCGAGGGGGTTTGATTCTTCGCAATAGCATTGAAAATATGAGAGCAGCCATTGTCAAGGCGGTTCTCATTGACATGCAGATGGAGACTACGTGGGGAATCAGGTCCAACGGACATCGAGTGCATAAACATAGCCACGTCTTCTCCGGTCAGACCACATTGATCAAGACGAATCACACGAAGGTTGCGAGAACGATCGCTAGCCAGGTAAGTAGCAATGGCATCTACGGACTCGCGGTTCAAAGCCGTCCGACTGAGAGCCAGCTCTTCGAGTCGCCAGTTGAACAGCATTTCAGCCGTGATGAGCGGATCGGTGCCGGATGTCCGTGAGATGCGAGATAAGTTGATTTTGCGGATTTGTCCAAAGTAGCCAATGTATTGTTGGAGTACATCGGGATTCAATCGGCCCTGAACGCCTGAGATGTTGATCGCTTCGAGTGTTGACTCTTGTGCGACGATAGTCGACAGAAGAAGGTCTAGATCATGCACGGATAATCCACAGTCCCCGACCTCCAGAGCTCGCAGGTGACTACGTCTTTGCGAAGCCGCATCGACAAGATAGTCCAGATCAGACTCACCCAGCTTGATGCCGTTGAGCACAACCCAGTCCACGCTGGTCAATTCTCGGCGGCACACGGGGAATATCGCTTCTGGAATCCCACAGCCTGGATCACGAGTACCCTTGTCGAGAGTTGGTGTCGGTATTCTTGTAAGGCAGTAAGAGAAGTCGAGTCGGCGCAGCCATTTGCTCTTCAGAGCTAAAGCGCGCACCTCTTGCGAGAGAACAGTCAAATTCTCCTGGCCTGGTATGTGCACGGAGGCACCTCCTCGGTCCAGATGGACGTCGGGATCCACTCCGTGAACATCACGAACGCCCTGCAATGCATCAAGGTTGATACCGCGGAATGAAATTGACCGGAAGAATTCATTGTAGCGAAGTGTGCGCATGACCGCAATGAGTTCTAGAGCGGTGTACCGCGGGGTCTTGGGGGAAGCAGGCTTCAAGAGACGGAAGCATGGAGCATCCTCGCATTCCTGGTCGATTGTGTACCGAATATTTGACGTGTCGATGTCATAACTGGCGGAGTAGGCGACGAGGGTTCGGTCGAAGCATCCAAAATCTTCATCTAAAGCAACAGGCGGGAAGTTGTCGTCATTTTGCAGTTCTTTTGGAACAACAAACTCATACGGCTGTCTTATCCACAATGGACGGAGATATTCAGTATGTTGTCGGATCCAGCAAGCGACTTCAACAGAATGAACAGAGGCCAAGAAAACATTGAACGATTTCTTGAGAGGAACCCTGAAGGTCAGATGCAGGCTATCGTCACCGTACTCCATCGACAAACCAGTCAGGTTCATCAGACCAAATGAAGTACCGGCTTCCCAATCTGACAGGGATACGACCGATGATCGATTGGTTGTCTTCTGCATGGGCAGCAGATGAAGCTTGTGTGCACCAATAGCAAGATAGCAGCCCGTGGGCGACAGTTTGGTCAGGTCATCAGAGGAAGAGCGGGTGATTGACTTGCTGGAGGCGATTTGAATGACCCGGAACATGCGGAACACCTCCGGGTCGTAATCTCGCTCGTGTTCCAGCATACGAGTTACGTACTCAATCGATCCCCCGCTAAACGGCATCGGACAATTTGCTCTAGCCATTTGGGCGGCTTGGCGAATGCCCACCATCCAAAGATTCAATTCTTGCAGATCAGATGTCTGCATTTGAACCAATGTAGCTTTGTGTGTGCGCTCATCGAGATAGGCCACTTCAACCGATGGGGACAATCGTGCATCCTCCAGCATGTAGACCGCAATTATGCTGTTTAATGGGATTCCGGCGGACGAATCTCCAGTAGCTATTAGTTGCACGTCCTGCAGAGAACTGACTGAAGCCACTGATTGTCGATGGGAAGCCGGAGCTCGGGCATAAGAAGCGGGGATAGAACCAAAGACATCGGCGGCTTTTCCCTGGTTCTTAAATCGAATGAGGTGCGTATCCGTCAGGACCAAATATTGACTTTTTTTCCTCCACATGCCTCCAGTCGTCTGCACTTCCCCGTAGTGGAGGATTGCAGATGACCAGATCCCATTTCGGGGACTGGCCATGGTTTGCTCATCCGCCACCGAACCAACGGAGGCACTCAGAGGTTCATCATCCTCCCATGAGTGCAATGACCTCAGAGATCCAAACACCGAGGTTCGCTTTTTCTGCAGCGACTTCCTCCGTGGTGGGCGAGGGGTTTCAATGACGGGTGTGGTTGCTGACCAGCCGGCGGTGTCGGAGCCTGCTGTCCCAGGGCGACGGTTATTCGATCCATCGGACCCTCTATTGGGACTGTGAGAGCGGCCGAAGAAGCCAGAATTCCGTCGGGTTTTCTTGTCTCGGGTCAAGTTATCATCCGAGGGTGTTCGGTCATGGAGTGGAGGCCGGAGGGGAGTCGATATTGTGAGGGATGGACTGAACACGCTCAGGCTCTTTCTTCGTTGTCGTTTGCCGATGATTTCAGCCATGTCGGGTTGGGGAGAGGGACTAGTGGCACAGAAGAGGAAATTGCGTGTGGAAGAGTAGCGGCGCGAGTGTACTGAGAAAGCAATATCTCATTGACGACCTCAACGTCGTTCGTACTAGATCAATTAGCTTGATACGTCATGGCAGGCAATATGGAAAGCATGAAGCGGAGAAAGAATGAGGGGAAATGCACATACTGCAGACTGTCACAGCGCCATGAGAAACAATTAGCAATTGCCAAAAAGCCAGGAAAAATCTTCCGGTCAATGTAGGACCAGTGATTATATCTAGGATAGCTCCCGCGGCCTTGTCAACAATGCGAAAGTGATGGTTGCGGAAGGGGGGAATCCACAATATCAGTATCAAGCGAATTAAGTCCGTGATTTGATAGGTCTTCCTTAATCAGATGAGGGGATCTGATTGAATGCGGAAATGAAATGAAAACAGTGTAAATTCGCAGGGATAACCCTCAATCGGGGGGAGGGGAGAGAGAGAGAGAGAGAGAGAGGAAAAGGAGGAATGAGAATAGAGAAATGGACGGATGCAGTCCAACTGTAACGATCAAGAGATGTTTCAGCTGAGTTAAATTTTTTTTCTTGTTCTTTTCTATTCTTTGGGCTTAATTTAATTATTTTTTTAAATTTACATTCTTCTTTAGCGCTTAAACTTGCTTGTATTTTAAGCTATTAAATAATCTATTTGATATGCCCGCTTATTTACACCCAAATAGTGAGAAACCGAAGACCCACGTTATATCTCTACACATACATAAGTACCACGTAGGAGGCGCACTAAACTTGATAGCGTCGATATAGCTTAAGGGTTACTCCGTATAAGGATTAGAAACTAATTTAGACTTCTCTTCGGTAACCATCTTCGGTATACGGAGCATGTATCATCCTCCGTTCTTTATAAGCCTAGAAGCTACCATATGCCCCTATACGATCTACACTGCAATTAACAACACATCATAGGTTCAATCCTGGGATCCACCCCCAAAATATGATCGGCGTCTACGACACTCCACGATGTTGCTGCTTCCGTAGGTTCCGTAGGGGTAACTGATGTCTCGGGCCCACGCAAAAAAGGAGATCATAATAGATCATCCTGGCAACCAGGGGGAATATCCCCAGGAACTTGGCGTCATCGATGACGGAGTTTCAGGATCAGCGATTGATGAACGCAGTTACAAAGTATTCGCCTCAATTCTGCGAGGCCTTGCAGGGTTGGGAAATGACTGGGAAATGAGATTCAGCTGATCCGGAGGTTCCAACAAAGTAGGTGTATTGTGTCCGGTGCAAATGGTCATGCTCCAAGCTCAAGCTTTTGTCGGCGCAAAAAAACAAGTGGCGATGTCTCTTGAAGCTCTTTATCGGCGATTACCCTCCGCCCTTTCAGCCTCCACTCGCTCCGCGCGTTTAATCCGTCGAACTAGCTCGATGTATTCCGTCACGCGTTTCTCTTGCCAGATACAACCACCCAAAGTCATCACCGCAACTTGCAGGAAGACCTTGAATTGCGGCGTTAGACCGCGGTAGATACGGGACTGCGGGGAGATCCAGCTTGAGAAACCCTCCAGGGGACGGTGGAAGAGTCGTGAGCGGAGGTAATCGCGGGAGAAGATGGATGGGCGTGGACGGGGTTGTGTCGCGGGATACGCGGGCGGACTTGGCGCGGAGAAGACGAAGGGGTGGGGTAAGGAAAGAATCATATGAGCCAAAATGGATACAGAGCCAAACTGGAGGATATTAGCGATTGCACTAGGGCTTTAGGAAGAGGTCCGGTTGCTTACGCGGAACACGCCGGTCATGAAGCCCTGGGCGGCTATCCAGGAGATTTCCTCCGGGGGTTCAATGCCGCCCGTCTTGTTGGATGGTGCTGGCATCCTGGTATTTACAGTGAGTGTGTGGTGAACAAGAGGCAACAGCCTAACTCGGGAAAGGAATTCTAGAACTCGGGATTGAGACCTCGGGATTTGATGTCAGTTCTTATCGAAGCCGAGTTCGGCGAGACGATAAACGAAGTAAAAGACAATACCCAAGGGAAGATGTGTGTTTCAGACAATGGCAGTGTCAAAGACAATATCAAATATCAAGGATGTCAAGGATACAAGCCGGGACCAGCCAGTGTCTTAGAAACTGTTCACCTTACGATCTCAAATGTATTTCCCCCATACTCTAAAAAGCGGATCAATGATTCTCCAGCGGACGAGTCAAACAAAAAAGAGATCCGATTATCGCAATCATCTCAAAGTCACCGATTTCATTCAATTCCCTGTCAACTTGACCTCTACCAACTCCTAAATTCAAAATGACTCTCGCCGCACGTACCGCGACCATCTCCCGGTCCACCAACGAGACCAAAATCCAAATCTCCCTCTCCCTAGACGGCGGCGTCCTCCCACCCTACGAACCCTCAACCCACTTCCCCGCCCCAACAGACCCCAAAGAAGCCGAAGCCTCCAAGACAGGCATTGTGCCACCCAAAGATGCCGGCCATGCCACTCAATTCACCCCGACTCAGCAAATCACCATCAGCACAGGCATCGGGTTCCTAGACCACATGCTGCACGCGCTTGCCAAGCACGGCGGGATGAGTCTTGCAATTCGCGCAAAGGGTGATTTATACAGTGAGTTCCGCTTAACCATTATACACATATTATAATAAACATATAAGGAATGTCATTGCTAATACCACCCAGTCGACGACCACCACACAACAGAAGACACCTTCCTCGCACTCGGCGAAGCCTTCACAGCGGCCCTGGGCGCACGGCAATCTCTCGAACGATTCGGTCGTGGCGATGCGCCTCTTGACGAGGCTCTCTCATGGGCTGTGATTGATCTCTCAAGCCGGCCGTGGGCGGTCATTAACTTGGGCTTCCGCCGCGAGAAGATCGGTGATTTGAGCACTGAGATGATCACTCATGGTCTGCAGAGCTTTGCGCAGGCGGCGGGCGTTACTTTGCATGTTGGTTGCACTTATGGTGATAATGACCACCACCGCGCGGAGAGTGCGTTCAAGGCGCTTGCTGTTGCCATACGCAATGCTTGCAAGCGTAGGGTTGCGGGTGATGTCGGTGCCGGTGATGTTGTTAGCACTAAGGGTGTTTTGTAAGGGGTCTGGGCAATGGTTTAGATATAAATATAAAATTATGTTATGAATGAGATGAGATGGATATACAGCATTGTCTATTGATTACACAGTACCCATTATAGAGCGGTGCGATCTGGCTATGAAACGAAACGCAATGAGATCGGGTCTTTTGAATTAAACTTTATTGCTATTCTATACCATAAATCTAATCCCATAATCCATAAATCATTAAATATCAAATATCCAAATTGGCAAACACAGTAGTCAACGCCAACATCGAAGAACCAGCTCCAAGAACACAGCAAACCAGATCAAAACACATAAGAATAAACCTCGACCAAATCATTGAAAATCTAAACCCCAATAGCCTTGACAGCCCTCTCCCAATACTCCTTCCGCTCATCAGTAACAGAAGTCCCTACACAATCCGAGATAAACCGCTGCCACCCCGTCTCCGAGCCATCAGCAAGCGCAGCCCGCACTTCCTTCGAGCATTGCGTAGTAAGGAACCAAGCAGCAGAACCAAAGTCTGTAGCAGGGTCGTTGCGCAGGAGATCGAGTAGATCTGCCGGGTTGTTGCTGACGCTAGGGAGTTTGTCTTTCAGGTCTGGCAGGGAGGAGGCGTATTTTTTGTTGTAGGATGGGGATTGCATATTGCGTGCTGGAAGATAAAAATATGGTTAGCATGCATGTATATAAAATGTGGATGTTGGATGGGTAAGAGTTAGGGTTACATACTGCCCTGTCCGGCAACACCGGGGAAATGATTCTTATTATACTTGAAATCACCACTTTCGAAAGCCATTATGCTGATTATGGCTGCTTGCTCAGCTTTCGAGGTTACTTTATAAGTGTCGAAAGCTTCGGTGGTGTACTTTGCGGCTTGGTTTGCTGTGGCGCATTCGCCTTTTGCTGGTGCGTCGGAGCAGGATTTGGATGTTGGGGCGATTGCGATGAGTTGAGATTCTGTTAGGGCAGCGGTGCGGGTGAAGAGGGAGAATGGGATCGGTGTCGCGGTTGTTTGGATGGTGAAGGTTAGGGTTAGGGAGAGGAGAAGGGTTTGGAGGTGCATTTTGTAGATGGTGGATAGAGTAGGTATAGTATGTAAAAATGGGTGATCAGTTACGGGTAACTATATCATGTAGAAATCAAGAATCGAGATTGAATGTTATAGTTGGATAGTATAGAAAGGGATCTTGGTTATGTGCTGGATCTAGAGAGCAGCAAGCAGATCATCTTTATAAGTCCTCGCCCATGTTTATAAGAGGTAGAAAGTGTGTGAAACAAGGGCTTGCATTGTCCAAGGCTGCTGGGACATACAAAGGGGAGGCAAAGGTAAGAATAGTATGTACATTGTAGGCTCGACGCGGAGAATGCTAGACGTGGACTGAGGTATGTTAGATGACGGCAGAGGCCAATATCAAGGGAAAATGCCAACAATCAACGACCTATTTACTTAGAAAACATGCTATAGCTACATACATATACTCATACTATTTGTAAAAAGACCAAAGGCCTAAATTTGATAGGGCTATTTGGAAAGCTTGTCGATGCAAGGCACAGGCTTGTCATTGGAGGGAGAAATTAGGGTTTCAGGATCAGGTGCTCTTTGGGGTTAACGTATCAAATTCTCAGACTGGGTTGATTGCACAGACTATAACTCTAGTTCTCTATTTCAGATTTTATACATGGATTATTTGAAAGGCATTATTGATTCATCATTTCTCCACGGAGATATCTGGTCCGAGTGCATAGAGGGCATGTCCATAAAATTTCACTGTCTCCCAAGAAGCGAAATCTAGCTTGTTTACAAATCAATAGACAAAAAATAATAAAAATAGGGGACAGTGAAATAAGACCAAGGCACAGACACTGGTCTTCACACATGTCCAAAAGCAAACCCAATTGCTCCAGGTGAGCATTCAATCCAGGATCCCGTCCACGGGATTGAGACACCATGCATAATGCGCTCCTAAACACAGAAAGAGCAAAATTTGTACAATAAATGGTGATGCAGAGATCATGTCCGGGGCCGTATCGTTACAGACAAATACACAAGCTGCAAAATGGCGAAGTTGCGAGTCGAGAAGTCAATCTCTAGATCTCTAGTCATCGCGACGTCCGAGTTCGTACGAGGTCTCGGTGACCCCACCTGACTCTTCATCTTCTTTGAAGCTGACGCGGCGGAGGAGCGTCGGGACGGAGAGTCGCGAGCGTCGTGTTGGCGACGAGGAAAGTCGCGACGGGTTGATGATGTTTGGCACTTTGGAGTAGCGGTAGCGGTACTTGGCGCCCAGGAGCATGACACGTCCGTAGCTCCACCAAAGGCAGAATCCAACGACTCCAGCGAGGAGGAAGCCGCAGACCGTGAGGAAGACCCAGTGCTGGCCCATCTGCGAGATGTTAGCATTGTTCCAAGATTTCGATACCAAGACTCATTGTGTCACTTACCCAGAAGATCAAACGCGCATCCTTTCCGTGCCAGCTGTTACCCCGGTGGTGGGTGAAGAAGCTCCAAGAGAACTTGTTGTACTCATCCTGCATGAGGATGCGCACGCGCCCAGCCTCGCTCGGCATTTCGCGCATGTACTCTTTCCAGATGACAGACAAGAACAGCGGTCCAGTCGAGTACATGACCGTGATGTATGGGAGGAGCCAGTGGCGATCGTACTGTTGCAGCACTTCGATCGTACGGAGGAAGAATGGGTGTTGTGGTACGGAACCCATGGCGTCGTTGGAGATACCGGTGGGTGCAGTGCGGCGTACCCAGGCGGGATAAGCGTTGAGAGGATCCAAGCGACGGTTGCAGCCCTGTTGACGTTAGAAACGAAACACCATGGTCATTCGGAGGTATGCTTACGTCGTCGAGGTCAATGTATGTACCACCGAAGTGCGCGAGAACGAAGTATCGAATAGTATCCGCGCGCTGAATAGGATAACTGTAGCCATCGAAGGTGTCCAAGAACCAGGGGTATTCGGCGGCGATAAAGTCTCGCGACTTCTCGTTTGTCCAGAGCTAATGACACGTTAGGAACGTTGAAATAAACAGATCGAATGGGGGAGCTATGGACGGACAATATATTCATAATCCGGGTGCAAGTCAATGCAACTCTGTTGGGCTTCTACCCAGACCTCTGGAATAGTCTCATTCTTGTATGTTTGGTGGATGATTTTTGGAATAATCTGGGGGCGGTGCTCGATCAGGCTGGAATTCGGCGAGGGCAGCTCTGCGCGGTGTATAGCGTCGGCAGCAGCATCTTCGAATAGTAGTGCCAGAAGCGTTGAGACACTGCGGACGAGCAATGAGAGGATGAGGAGATTGACGAGGATGAAGATTAAGAGACCGCGCCGCATGATGAAGGCGAAAGACAAAGGCTCAAAACAGGAGAAGTGTAACCAATTGAACCCCAACAATTCGTAAAGTCGTATCAAGTTTCACAGACCCTCAGGCCGTAGATAAGGATTCAAATGAAAATGCAGGTCATAAAAGGTATAGGATAGTAGACAATAAAGGGAGAATAAAGAGTATTTAAAAGGGGAGCCTAGTTCACGATAATAAGGAGTGCCGGGAGTGGAGAGACTAAAGCTTAAGGAGGAAAGGAGACTTAAAAAATGACAACCCTGAGGCAAAAAAAGAAAAAGGGTGACCAAGGAAAACAATACGATACAAACATGGGAAGGAAAGCTGTTGAGAAGATTACGAGGCTGAGCAGAAGGGGTGGCTGTGGTTCCAAGATTAAGCGGCTTAGATATTTTTTGATTGGTGAGCCGTTAGTGGGGCAACTAAGGGGAATTCTTTTAACCTTTTATTTTCTTTCAACATTGTATGAATGTGGCCCGTAACTGAATTTGGGCTTTCTACATTACTTTGAACATTTTTTCTGAATTGTTCTTCAAGTAATCTAATATGCACTACTCCGTACCGATATACCTAATAGAAGTATCTCTAAATGTCTAACTTTCATGTCGCTAAAATAATCCCAATATTGGTGCAAGGACTCGTCAGCGTATTGTAAATATAGCGCTGTGGGGAAAAAGTCCCCACGCCAACGCGTGAGCAGTGTATTGAGCTAGTCCTATTTGGGTATGTACTTGGTCGGTACCTTTCTAAAGCCGAGGCTAGCTTGCACCCGCTAGTCTATTAATTTACTAGTTCGTCTTAAAGAAAGCGTTCCAAGGTTAGTACGGAGTATAATTTTAACGGAGCACGGAAAGTTCAATAATATTATACATTATTCTGTATACTCCGGACCCAATATACTCCGTACAAGAAAATTGTACGTAGAATGTGTATTTTCGCCGCACATGTGTGGCGTGCACGTAGACCTTTGATCAGACCTCGGGGACAATACCTCGGTTGAACTTTTTCTATAACTCCCATAAGAAGAAAGAACCAAGGATACCGAGCACGAGGTAGGAATTGGCACCGATTCGCCAAGCGAACCGCCACCACCTGCACGGGACGTGCACACTGCGATTAGAGGGTACCATTATTGTTATTGGTCTTAGCGTATTCGTATATGGTATTAGACGTGGTTTTGAAAACTCCGTTCAATTATTTTGTATATCTATGTTTCAGTCTAAACCCATGAAATAACTTCTATGCAGAGTACAATCAATAGTTGGAGATTCCATTTCCATGGGAACTGTAAGAAAACACCCCACTACCTAGGCCCCCCATAATCCCCAATCTCTGGTTCACCCCTACCATCTAGAATGGTTCCGAGGTCGTGGCCTGGCAAATCCGCCCATGGTTCAACACGTCGTATCTCGATTCAACGGGTCTGGTAACTCGTCATAGCACAGACTTAGAAAGAGATCGGCTCAACTTACTCCAGTTTTTCGGTTTTCATTCTAAGATCAGCTCGTGACGTGGGTGGTCCCAATCCAATCTAATCGCTATAACTTACAAACCTGCCTATCATTGTACATTGCGAAGATCGTCTGCCGTGGAATGCTAACAAGCGGGACGTAAGCCAAAAAAAAAAAAAAAAAACGGCGGCGAATTACTCCTTTGGTAAAATAAGATAGCTATTACAGTGCCTAACGTATGTTACTCTTATGATCATCTACCTTGTACGGAGAGATGGACGTATTCCGTATTGAAGAGATATTTACTGAATTCTGATCTATGTGTCTCTTGGACCCCAGGTTAATTAAAAGTGCTGTACCATATTGGTTTGGACTGAAATTTGGCCCCAATACATGAAAATGCACGGGGCGCTGGGGCGCTGTACAATGCATATTTCCTCGTGGTCTTGCTCTGACGTCGTGGTTCCTTAAAATCGTGGTACAACAGCTCCTTCTAAGAATAGCCGACAACATACTAATAATGATGTGAGATGACAAGGCCGACTACACTGTATCATGCTGCCTGTTGATACTGCTCCGTACTCCGTATGCATATGCAAGATCGAAGCTGTACAGCCCTGTAATGAACTTGGCACTGCCAAACATATGATCATGCATGGCTGCCTTCAGTAAGGAGTTTCGATAGTGGTCGGTTAATGCGTGCCACACGGTCTTGTTCTACTTTATTTTTAAAGCATGTGGTGTTCAGTTTACTTTAAGGGACAGAGCGAACTCAAATGCTCGTACTCGGCAATCGTACTTGAGTACTTGGCACTGGAGGTCATGGCGAGGGGTTGATACATATCGTCATAGGGTCTGCGTCTGCATGCACCTCTAAGGGGTATAGCTATAAAATAAAAAGTAATTCGGGTATCTATGGCTATTCCAATGTCAAACATATGCACGCTCTTGTAAACAAAAAAAAGAAGAAAACGAGTCCTGATCCTTGCTTCTACATTGAGCGGACTGGGCTAATGGGCAACGTCCCACATCATCAGATAAAAGGAGTTGCTCCGGACAGACCTCTCGGCAGTCTCCGTCATACCATCTTTTGACACAGCTCTAAAGTGACCAGTTTCCATGGCTAACCAGTATTGCATGCAGACCTCGCCGAATAATGTCGAATGCTCTCATGCGGTGTGAGTGAGAAAAAAGCGCCACCAAGAGAACTCGCTGAGGTTCAGCTTGCCCCCTCCCGTGCACAGCTCACAGTTTTGATATCAATGGCCCAAAGCCAGTTTTGAGCAGAGTCCAAGGCCAGAATCGAACCCATTGCGCCCTCGGCTCTACTTATACCAGTGAGATCTGTCTTTGAATGCGATCTAGTTTTCAATTTCCGTTCGATGCACAAGGAACCTCGAGATTTCGTCCCCGAAAAGCGACGCTTGGTCAATAAAAAGAGATGGCTTATCGAACCTCGGGCGCCGCAGCCACAAACTCGCGGTCAACTGTCGCACGCTCATTGGGTCCAGGCGCGGATTCGAACAGACGCCGCCACCAGCGAGGTGGGTCAAACGGACGGTGGCCATCGTGCAGGGGCGGGTAGACATCGTTGAAGAAGTACCAGATATGACCGACGACAACACCGAGCATCTCATCCTTCGGCACGATCTTATGTACAATCACACTGAATCCCATCAGTACCCAGGGCAGATAAGGAGCAGTGAAGACCAGCAGTCCCAATAAACTGAGACGGGTGTCTGGGTTGCGCCGGGCCCAGATGTAGACCAGGCTAGATGAAAGCGCGCTTCCCAGAAAGGGTATTGAGAGGAAAGGTGAGATGATGAGGAGAGATGTCATAGCGTAGAAGATCAGCCATGCGAAGTGGGCTGGAGAACGGCCGGAGGTTTCTTCCAGAAGGCGGGAGTAGCGCTGCAGGAAGAAGACATGGAATAATAAGTCGAGATTGAGGGGCCCGAAATAGAGGAATGTCGTGAGTAGTCGCCAGTACTGCGATTTGACATAGACGGAGCGGAAGCTGTAAAACAGCTGGAATGGGGTCACTATATGGCACTGCACCAAGACTGAAGTTGCGACGGTGGCTACCGTCCACCACCGGGTGACGGGTGGCATCTCATAGAACCATTGTTCGAGAGGAAACTGGCCTGGCTGCCCATTGTTCTCCCAAAAAGCGGCCATGATGTATGGTGGTTGTGGCTTCTGGGGACAGAAATCAGAAAGAAGCTGGAGCCAGGGCAGATGATCAGCACGAGCACTGAGAGCTCTCTAAAGTGCCTCTGGGGTATATCCAACGTATGACGGAGATAAGACCAGGTAGGCCAGTTTATCGTCACGTGTTAAAACACGAGACGCGTTGCTACGTAAGAAATCACGGGGGCTGGGTCGCCAAGGCCCGAATAGTTCATATTGACAGCTCCCCCAGCCTTCCCTTCGCAACAAAGACTGTCTAATTATTAGCAGATACGACTTGTAATCCTAATCCCTTCAGTTGAACCTCGTGTGCAAGTCTAAGCCTCAACACTCGGACACGGTTCCTGCAAGGGGCAATCTCGACACAAACGCGGCAATCCGCAGAACGCTGGTTGCTAGGCGATAGACCTCCCAATTGATCGCTTTCCAGCACCCCACTACCAAAAAAAAAACCACGCACCGCGTTTCTCCTCTACCACAATGCCACCCAAGGGAGCCCGCAAGACAGCACCAGGCAGTGCACAAAAAGGCAAAGCGCGCAAAACAGCCGCTGCGCCCGCCGCTGCTCCCGCAGATGGAGATGGCACACCAACGAAAGCACGCAAAACAAATGCAGGAAACAAAGTTGCAAAGACCACCGCCAACGTCCAACGTACGTTCAACCCTCCACCTACCACCACAACGAGCGCCCTAAATTGCTCTACTTGCGCAATTCTGCAACCAATCCCCCACAAATTCAATCACCCCATTCTAACAATCCCCTAGCCGGAGACCCAACCCCCACAGGCCATCGCCGCCGCTACAAGCCCGGCACCGTCGCTTTAAAAGAAATTCGCCGCTACCAACGCTCTTATGACCTTCTCATCGCTAAATTGCCCTTTGCGCGCTTAGTCCGCGAAGTCGCGCTCGATCTCCTCCCCGCCGACGTCGGCGCCGAGCTGCGCTGGCAGTCGTTCGCTATCCAAGCTCTGCAAGAGGCCGCTGAAGCTTTCCTTGTTCATCTCTTCGAGGATACGAATTTGTGCGCACTGCATGCGAAACGCGTTACGATTATGCAGAAGGATATCCAGCTTGCGCGGAGAATTCGCGGAGTCTGGGCTGGGCTGGGCTGAGCTGTTCTATTGACTGTCTCGATTTTGGCGGCTTTTTTTCGAGTTTAATATTAATTTCGCGGTGTGGTGACTCTACTCTCTGGATGGGGAGAGGAGCGTCAAGGACATTGCTGGCGTATTATGGGCATGGAGTTGTCCTTTCGTTTTATTCTGTTGCCTCCAGCTTCTGCTGGTGGAGCTTGTGTCTGCGACTGCAGGCTGGTTTATACCATGGTGTTTGTACATTACGCATGGATGTCGGGTGTTCATGTTCTTCTTTATAGGGAGCGAAGCAATTCATGATCTTCCTAAGGTGTGGTATACACGCCCTGCGCTGAATCCTATCAGTGTTTTCAACTCAACAATACCTACAAATATATCGGGAAACTTATGTGTTTAGGGTATCAGAAAGGTATTTCTTGATTCGCCAATAACATCAATTACCGGCTCGCATCCCTGTCAACAATAACTGCAGAAAATATCAAACGCCTCCCCGGGTAGCCATCAAATGGTATCGTAAAGCGCCTCCCTAGGAACAATTCTGAATCAAACGCCAAAGGGAAAGACGTTAAGAAAACAAATCGGTATATCATGTTCATAACAATAGACGAAAGCAATCAGGCCGAACGTCTCAGACGAGGGGGAAGACCCGAGACCAAGCGTTGGCCTTCTTCGCGGACGCTCTGCGCTTCCTCGCCCTTGCCCTGTCGCTCCAGAGTCTCAGCCAACATGTCGTCGGTGACGCTCGCCCACATACGGTCATTGGCTCGTTTGGCCATTGCGCGGCCGGCCCGAGCGCTTTTCTCGGCTTGCTCACCGACCACACCGCGGAAGTACTTCCAGCTCATGAATGTTAGGGTCATGCAGGTGATTTGGCTGTTGCTGATTGCGGTGGCAGACTGCAGAGCTTGCTGGAGGTATTGTTTTGTTTGGATGGTTGACTCGGAGTGAACAGTTGCGCAGACTAGGAAGTAGGCAGCTTGGATGTACTTGTTTGGACTGCTTTGGCAAAAGGGTTCGAGGGTTGCTAGAACGGCGCTGAGCATCGAGTGTGACGGGTGACCTGGATCACGGAGGATCAGGACTGTGTTGAGACCGGCGAGGATGCGCGTATCACGACAGGGGTCATTGCGTCCTGTCTTGCTGGTAGCCGGGTCTAGTGACAGAATTGGTGATTGGAATATGGTTAGCGCGGCCTTGAGATCACCAGTTGCCTGTGCGATGGTGCCGGCGGCATATTCCATCAGACATTCGATGGTGTCCAGAAGGTTGGAACCAAGCTCTTGGAAGACTTGTCGAAGGTCGTTGAGAGTCTGGCTGGCAAGATCCCAATCGGTTCGGGCGCAAGCCAGGAAGACTCGTTGAAGGAGAAGGTTGCAGTAAAGGGACTGGCGCCACCGAACCCGACGGTTGGCGTTGGCCATGGATTCTGAAATTTCTTGGGGGGCCTTGAAATTGCCTTGAACCATTCGAAGCCCTTCCTCGAGATATTTCTCTGCTTTCCGGCCATCGTATGAGTTCTTGGCACTGAGTGTGATCGAGCTTAAGAAATAACAAAGCGCATAAAGATCGTGCTGAGGAAGCCAGTTGAAGCTTAACAGCAATGTGCCATTATGAACCTGCAAGATGTCACCTGTGTCGATGGACGACGGCCCAGCGGATTTACCGTTGAGAGGGACCGAAAATGACCCATCGGGACGCCAGTTGCTGTCGCTAAGGGTTTCATCCATCAAAGCCTGCATTACCTTCAACTTCTGCCCAGACTGGTTGACGTCGTACTCTAGAATACTGCAGCAGATATCGACCATCTGAATCAAGGTTGTAAGTTGAGGTATATGGCGAAGTTCATCATTCAGCTGATGGCTTCGTGCGGCTGCTACGGCACGCTGCGCCTGTTCGATAGAATCGGAATTTGTCGCTTGTTGTAAGTGTGCAAGTGATTCAATCACAGCCGCCATTGCTGAAACGGCCTTGTCCCCGTTACGACTAGCCATGGCAGTGATTTTGTGAAGATGCTGTAACGCTTGCACGGAGTCTTGGTGTGACGGAGATGATAACGAGAGTGATACTCGAAGGAAACGAAATGCGTACTCCCATGCGGCATGGCGGTACCTATTGTTATTAGTATCCCATAGTCAAAGAGAGTGCAATGACACATACGCTTCCACATCCTGAATCATCCCATCGACCGCTTTTAGGGAAGCTTTAGGGTTAGTCTTGTGGAGCATTCGTGCCAAGAGGTGCTGCATGCTGTATTTCAAGTCCAGCATACGGTTCTATAACAGTTAGAGATCAGAACAAATTCGCTATCAAGTTGCAGTTGACTAACTCGTTCACATAGATCGATCTGCTCAAAGTTAGTGACTATTTCTGGGACAGACGAGGGAGAAAAATACACACCCCTTTACTCAACGCTGTTTCCGCTTCGATGTCATTATCTGTCTCCTCGAACAATGTACGCGCATAGCGAAGTCTAACAAGAGCTTCTTTGCGAGGTTGCAATCGCCAGTTCTATCATATCATTTGCTTAGCATGGGCACAAAATTTCTCCAATAGAGCAGTTCACCAACCTTCAAGACAGCCTCCAAACAGCCCAATCCGGTAGCAACCAGCTTATAATATTCCTCAATGTCCGTCTCACGAGTGGTCAAAGAGGTCGTCGTTCCACGAGCATGAGCAGCATTTAGATATTCATCGGCCAAGGACAACAGCAAAACCTGATAGTCGACTGGAGGCTTCGTAGACTTGGCAGGCGTGGGCTTCCCATGCTTTTCGACATTTGGTGGAGTCGGCTGTCCCTTCTTTTCAATATGCTGTGGTTGAGATTGCTTTTGCGGAGTCTGGGCTTGAATTCTTGCTTGAACCGCTGGAGAACGAGCCGGGATCATGACTTGCGGAGTCGCATGTGTCACCGGCGGAGGAGCAGGAGCAGGCTGGGGTCGTTTCGGCGTCGCAATAGGTGTGGAAAGTATTTTCTGAGACTCTACTCTTGGAGAGATCTTGGATGGCACGGGTTCAGATTTAATGACAGGGTGTGTTTGTGGCGTATGGATATTGATTTGTCCTTGGTTGCTTTGGGTGTTTGGTTTAGGAGGCGGGGCAGAAGCAACATGAACAGGTATGGCTGACGGCGGAGCTGGCAAGGCAGCCGGTGGTATTTTGGACGGACTAGCATTCTGGATGAAAGGTGGCTCGCCATATTGAGGAGAGAGTTGAGCGTATCGGGATCGCGGAGCAGTAGGCAGAGGTTGTTGTACAAACAGTTGAGCCGGGTTGACAAACTGATGTTGCAGCTCTTCTTGTTGGATTTGAGGCTGAGGCGGAGGCGGAGGCGGGGGAGGAGGCGGCTGAGGCGGAGGGGGGGAATGTAGTTGAGGATGAAGCTGCTGTGGTCCTGGCTGTGGCCGTCGTTGGAGAGATTGTTGTGGTAATTGCTGCGGCTGCTGTGGGGGAGTTTGCGGAGGAGGACGCGTCTGTTGCTGCTGTGACTGCGGCTGTGAAGTATACGTCGATGGGTATGAAGGATATGGCATCATGGCCGAAGGATACATTGCTGGCTTGCCATAGCCATCGTATGGGGGCGGCGGAGCACTGGCATTATTGTACAGTATCTGCGGGGGGATTTGCCCGTGTTGATACTGCGGCGGTGGTAAATAATGCGGGTATTGACCGGGACCGGGTGGTGGGAAGCTCATCGCCCCGACAAACAGACAATATTCGTATAAATCGAGTATGAAGTCGAACGCGCGAGATAGTGAGCGTAGATCGTGTCGGTCCGGATAAACCCAGGGCGGTCAGCTGATAAGGGATCTTGCGATTACGCGACTCTGCTCCATCGAGGTATATCTAGACTTCTCTAGATCTGAAAAATTATGAAACAGTCGTCTTTGACGATTTGCAGTTTTATTTTGGGTCGTATTCTTGGTCAACGGGATTGGATAAGACGAAAAAGATACCCAAAGGACTCACACAAAGGACCTTGCAAAAAATGTCCAAGGAAGAGTCACTAAGGTAGCCGTCACTTCTTGTCTGAATGATTAAATCTGAATGATTAGATTATTTGAGAATATGCCTAAGTACTTGGTGCTAACCAAAATACTAATCTAACACGCTGAACCAACGCTCACTATACAATATATACTGACGAAACTCGGACACAAGAGAAGAAATGAACCCCAATTGGTCCATCAACTCTTTATGGTCTTGCCCCTAAGGCCTCTCTTGCAGCTGGACAAAATCGTTAAATCGTGTTGATGTATGTGTAAAGTTGGCTGATGGGTTGGTTACCTATTCCAGAATCGATAATTTCCTGTTCTATACTCGGCGCGAATGAGAGCGCTGGATGTTCGCGCACTGTCCAAGGACACAACTCGTTGCAGTTTTCAACACTGATTGACGGTTCGGCTGGATGAATTCGTTGTGCTCCCCAAGCTGGATCAGGAGTTGGACCTGTCCCCCCGAGGTTTCTTTGGGTCGAGAATGAATATGTCGCTCTGCCGGATTTTTCAGAGTGGAATGGTGCTTTTCGTGGACATGTCAAAGTCGTATCGCACGCACTGCAAACGGATATACGCTTGCAGGACGAGCAGAAAGAGTCAAAGAGGCGACATATAGTGGTTTGGTGAACGCCGGAGAGCCACAAGTCGACCGATCGATGTGCACACCCGAAGCGTGGTGTGATATAATCTTCCTTGCCAACTTGGCCCGATTCGGTGGTGAGCTGATATTCCGTGCAAAGAACCAGCTGGTTGTCGGCATTGATTTCTGGAAACAAAGATGTCTTCAGTTCGGTTGGGCCATACTGCTCGGTACATGTATGCCAGCAGTAGCGGTCGTCAACAGCGTCCCCGAATTCTGATTTCAAGGCTTGAATCGTCACCTGCCGCACTCGAACATGATCTGCGAGATCAAGTTTGTCTCGGAAAGTTAATTTCTTGCATGGGCACAGATCGACAACCCCTGCTAACTCTCCAACATTGCATGTTCGATTCTCTGGCTTCCGTCTCAACTCTCTAGATGAGAATGCGGCTCGGGGGTGGAGTTTCAAACATTTGGAGCATAGTTTCCAGCTGGAGTTTTCCAACACATTGAGAAATGCCCACCGGGGTGTGACAAAGTTATGTCCATTGCGATAATGGTGGAAAAGCGGCGCAAAGTCGCGACTGAATCGAAGGGATTTCGAGAGCAGGATCTCCCCGGAGATTGCGAACATGCGCTTGTTGGTCAGCGCAAGCGCAGCCTCCGGCAGCACTGTCAGATGAGATATGATCTCCAGCAACAGCTCGGTGGGTAATTCCATTAGGTAGCAACGGCCACCCTCTTGCTTCCTCACTCGTTTTGGGGACCAGGGTCTCATTTTGATCATGGTCTTAAACTTCTCTGTAGCACGGTATAGACGATCGGACATGTCGGAAGGAAAGTCTCTTATTAAAGTCATAGGCGCCAGGCTGGTCTTTTTATTTAGATCGAAGGTCGTTTAAAGATGTGTTATGACCAGACCTCATGAGAGATTTGTGAATCAACAAGATAGGTAGTGGCGTTTCGACGGAGCTATCATGTTGCAGAGATCAAACGCATCTCGTGACAAAACAGACATCACCTTTAAGGGAAAAAAGAAAAAAGATATGGATCCGTTGACCTTGAAATAGTCTACTGGAAGATAAAGACGCACGGAAACGGACCATGGGACTGGGTCACAAAAGATGGGCGTTAATGCTATCAGTATTACATATAAAGAAGAAGAGGAACTGATCATCGGTGGCTCAGCACGTTCTTTGTCCGATGATCCATATGCAGAACACCGGATACTTCAACCTTTTCTCCCTACATTTATCGTTGGTCGGTTTCGATAAGGACATTGCTATTGTCGGAAAATATGGGGGTTTGTCCCTGTCACTTCACGCCGGAAGTGAATTTAGGGCCTCCGCATGCGGAAAGTAGATTGCCGCATTGAGCATCATAGTATCATCACTTCATATTCGGCGGAATTCTCTCCAAATTTTTGCAACACCAGATAAGGGGGGCCCTTCCTCCATCAAATTTGAAGGACTTTTATGCGCTATGACATTGTCAACTGACTGCGGGCGTATGACAAAAAAGCCAGCATGTTATCAGGTGTGTCCGTGCCCGGCCACCTGGGCAGCCCCAGGAGCCATCATGATCATGACTAAGCCACCCTCGAGGCTCAGATCACCTGACATCTGCATAAGTCTGTGAATCACGTGAAATGGGATAAAGCTGGCTTAGTCACACTGAACCGTGGGCAGAATATGAGCGGAAACTCTAAACATAACTTTTTTTTTGCCGAGGTCTAGTCTGATATCAATAAATGGTGGTCTGCATCCTTGGATCAGGGATTTGGGATTTCTGCATACTTTTCAAGCCGGTTTTTTTCTTCTTATCAAGAGCATATAAAAGTTGAATGACCTCTAGGATATCGATTTGTCCATTTGCTCGATTTCAGCGCTTAGTGTTTATAAACCCTCATGCTCGATCTCATCCCAACGCTTCTGAATTCAATCCCCCTATCAGTCCTCTTATCGGGGCTGATCGCCATGGGTTTGATTTCATGGCTTCGTCCGAAGGGACGCATAGCTTTTCATCATGCCAAAGACAATAATTTGACGTTGACCAAAGTTTCCGGCGCCGCAAGTGCTAAAGAACAAATCACGTTCGTGGATGTCTGTCGGTCTGCCACGCCAGAAACATGCAACCTGAACCCATTTTTGTTCAATGGGCACCTACAGACATGCTGGACCACTATGAAACACGACAACGTTCCTGTTTACTACAAACGTAAAATGTTCGAGTCCGATAGCCCTGCATTTACGGGTCATTATGCCATGGATTTCGTGGTTGCACCGTACGACGTTCCTCAAGACCCGGAGCTTATCGATCAAGCGAGAAAGTATACCCAAAAGTCTGGTATGCCGCCACGCACATCCTTTTTCACTCAGGATGAATTTGCTGTGTTGCCCTCAGATGACACCAAGCCCATGCTTGTGCTTCTTCACGGTCTGAGTGGTGGCTCCCATGAAGTATACTTACGGGAAGTCCTGGCACCACTCGTGAAAGATGGCGCTTGGGAAGCATGTGTTGTCAATTCTAGAGGATGTGCACAGACAAACATCAGTACCGGTGTTCTCTACAATGCTCGAGCTACCTGGGATGTTCGCCAATCGGTGAAGTGGCTCAGGAAGCAGTTCCCCAATCGCCCTCTTTTCGGAATCGGCTTCTCACTCGGTGCCAACATCCTCACTAATGTATGACCCCCTGGCAAAACTGATTGTCTGCACTCCCCACTGACAAACTGTGTAGTATCTGGGAGAGGAAGGTGACGCCTGTGAATTGAAGGCAGCTGTGATTTGTGCGAGCCCGTGGAACTTGGATGTTAGCTCTATGGTGTTGCAAAGCACCTGGATTGGCAAGGAAGTATATAGTAGAACCATGGGGACAAGCATGAAGAAGCTCTTTGAGGCGTGAGTGCCAGTCTGTTCAGCTGATGTGAAAAGCTAACTAACCACATGGAAAACAGACATGTTGACCAAGTCTCTAAAAACCCTCGCATCGATGTTGATGCGATAAGAAACATTACCTACCTTCATGAGTTCGACCGGTAAGAAGAGTTCATTCTGCATCTCAAAATGAATTTGGTTCTAACATGAAACAGAGCTCTGCAATGCCCAACTTGGGGCTACCCAACCGAAGGAGCGTATTACCGTGATGCCACTTCTACCGATTCCATGCTTGCTATCAGGATTCCTTTCCTTAGCATTCAAGCAGAGGATGATCCTGTAAGTTATGAAGTCTATCATGCTAACCGTGAACACATCGCTGACTTTATTAGATCGCTTGCTGGGAGGCTCTGCCCTACCAGGAAATGACCCAAACGCCATATGGAGTCATGTTGACTACATCGTGGGGTGGCCATCTCGGCTGGTTCGAGCTTGGAGGGTCCAGGTGGTTTGTCAAGCCGGTATGTTGCAATGGACCATGAGTATCGAAATGAACTTCATACTAACCTTTCCTTCAGGTGGTAAACTTCTTGAACACAATGGCAAACGAAATCGATACTAATATCCCTGGTGTTGTCGAACACCCTGAAAGACTCCCTGGAAATATTGCCAGCCACGATGGGGACAACAAAGAACCCGACCTGGCACCTAAGCCTGAGTTCGTCTCGATGCGACGCAAACTCGCGCTGCCTTTGGGGCTGTAATTGGCAGCCCCTCAAAACATTGACTCCTCCCAACCCACTGCTACAAAGACCGTGTTCGAAAGCGACCTGTCATTCATGGTTTACAATGGGGGAACCACAGCATGGACGGTGTTTTTGCAAAATGATGTTTCTGTTCCGATAGACATAGATTGATAAATAGGTGAAAACGCCGAACCCCGACATCTAAGTACATAATCAAAGTATAGACACAATTCTTCAGACTTTTTTTTTTCAAGCAAATGCAACGGTCTTCTTCTTTGATCGCCCGGGCTTTGAGATACTATCCTTGATACTCGTCGCCTCCGTGGCCTTGTCGCCACGACCGCCCTTCTTCTTTTGCCGGATGGAATCCTTGACGTCGTCGAACTTGTTCTTCCTCTCCTTCATGCGAGCCTCGGCCTCGGCTCTCTTTGCCTCGCGGATCTCTTCTAATTGACGTGCCTTCATCATCTTGGACTCGATCTGGCCTTCCTTTTCAGCGTTGACCATGGCGAGAATTGTCATCATGCCCTCCTGTAGGTGATATATTAGTATTAGACTTTCATAGAGTATAACCAATAAAACAGAGCATAAGAGGCAAACGTACCGCATCATCGACAAAAGTCTTGCCCTTCTTCTTGCCCTTGGGCTTGATGACTCCGACGGGTGTAATTTGGTTCAACTCGGGTAGATCCAGCTCCTTCTCGGTGTACACTCTCTTCTTCTTTTTCTTCAAGCTTTCTTGGACAGTGCGGGGCTTGGTCTTCTGTTCCTTGGCCGGGGGACGCTTGGGACCATCCTTCGATTTGCTGACACGCGAAGCAGACGAGAGGCTGGAAGACTTGCCGCCCTTTGCACCTCCCTTTGCGGCACCCTTTGCACCTCCAACGTTAGGACCTTTGCTAGGAGCCATTTCGCAGTGTTTGAAGAATTGAATGGTTGATTGAGTTGAGGCGAGGCGGACTGAGAGTGGAAGGAAGGCAAAGATTAATAGGTTGGCGAGAAATGAGTTGTAATTATTTCAACAACCCAAAAATAATCCAATACCTCTGCGACAAAATCAGAGATATCAAAAAATATTCGACGGGAAAAAAACAAGAGCAGAGAAACGTCGCGCAGACGGTCCCATAATCCCCAAATTCGCAAAGATTTTTTTTGAAAAGGCAGGCGGTGAGCCTGGTTCATTCCACCACCAACCTCAGATCGAAACCTCCACCCTCATAGCTCAGGAACCCACGTTCAATTCCCCTCCGTCTCTCTGCACCCAGTGATTGAACTGCACTGGATTGAGTGGGCTCTTAAATCTCTTCCAATATGACTATCAACCCTACCTACCTGGCGCAGCGCACGCGCTCCTGTACGTCCCTTCCACGCCCGATGCGTTCCGCCGTCCACCTGGCGGGATCGTCAATGGAGTCTATCCCACCCGCGAAAAGGTGCTAATATATCTGTTTGTCTTCTAGCTGTCAACTGGGGCGATGCGAAATACCGAGTCCTGAAGTCGTACCGTGAATGGCTCCGCGCGGTCAGTCTACCCCGAGATCCCAGGCCGATACACCTTCTCCCTTGTTACGCTCCTTTCCTCTGTTCCAGGTGGATATCGCAGGAGCAGATTGATTAGTGGCTGTTTTTCTATGGCTCAAAAGGCCACATTTTGACCCCGCAATGGACTCAACTAACATGATATCACCGAATACAGTCCCCGGAGATCCAGACCATGTACTCCCTGGGCATGCCCGTGTCCGCCATCCGCACCAAAATCCGCCAGGAGTTCGAGAAGCACCGATACGTCAGCCAATTGAACGTCGTGGATGTGCTTTTGTACCAGAGCCACGCCGAGTTCCAGGTTAGTCCAGGTCCACCTTTCTATCCCGGGATATATAATACGTCTATGCCTGTTCGCCATACGAATTCTTTCAAAGAGACAATTATGAGCAGCAAAAGTTGCTTGTCCTTTGTCTTTCTTTGATCATTATCGCAGCCCGCAATTCCAGTATCAAATACTGACATCATTCCAATGCAGGAAACCCTTAACTACTGGAAGCAGCTTTCTCACGTTATGAAGTACTTCCGCCCAGAAGAAGATCCTGGCGCGCGCCTACCCCGCAACTTCGTCTCTGGTTTCCTCGAGGGCCGCAATTAAAACCCTCTTTCTGCTTCTTTCTCTCTCATTTCCTATCTTCTTCATCTCGTTTCTGGTCCGCGATGTGGCAGTTAAAGGAACTGCGCCATCGATAGACATGATGTGTATATATTGTCTGAACAAGCCATTCCATTATCTTATTTCATTTCTATTTAGTTTCTGTATACGCCTAGCTGCAGACTTGAGATGCTGGGCCTAGACAGCACGAACTTGGCAATATCGGTCTCGTAGCGTGCATCACACGAATAACTCTATCTTCAGTATTTCTTATAAATATATATACCAAAGAAACCAAAAGCACTTCTCATGCCCGAGATAGAAAATGTACTTTTCCCTCTACCCGAAACGCCAATTAAATAATACATATGCAAATCAACAACCTCATGCCTCCATACGGTTACCACTCTCCGCATTGAATTGATCACGCGAAGCAGTGAACTTCTCCGTTACGACATCGCACAGGTCCATCAGATCATTGAAGCCCTTCTCCAGAGCCTCGAGAGCAGTAGTGGAATCTGAAGTCAGGCAGTTAGTACATATTCCCACAGTCCGATAGACAAGAAAGTAACAGGATAGCAGGACATACCGGTAGTCTGGATGCGGACGTTCATCTTAGGATCCGAGGGGTGGGGGATGGTGTAACCGCAGAACTCAACGGCGGGGCTATTCAAGTTAGTGACGATGTTCTCCAGATGAATTCGAGGATTTGATTCCAAAGCTTGCGGGAAAGAGTCCAGTGCGAGAACTGAATCTATCCTCGCAATCATAGGCATATATACTCACTTCTTCATAATTGCGTACCGCAGCGCATTGCCCATGGTATGGCCTTCGCCTTCGAACTGGAAAGAAGCGGCGGTTTCGGTGGCACCGGGGAGCTGAAAATATAGTATTAGCTTGATGCTTTCTAGGCATATCTAGAGAACAATTCGGATCCTGGGCAGATCTAATACATACCACGACAATCTGTCTCTCTTCGAGGATGGGGTCGTTGGACTGGGGCAGCTCGGCGGGCTGCTCTGCATCGACCATGGACTGGTCCTGGTCTTGGGAGTGGACAGACTCAGGCATTGTGTTGGATTTGGTGAGGGGTGTGAGGTAGGTGATCTGACAAGTTCGACACTACGTCGAAGGCTGTTTGCGTGGATGTGGGAGTTGGGGTGGGTGGGTAGTGGTTGGCTGTTCCGGGATTTGCAAGACAGTTGGTTAATGTCTTTGCTGGCGTTTGGTTTGGAAGCTCGATTGGAGTTTCAGCGTAACAAATTTGCGCGATCTGGATCTCCAAGTCGAAGATTATCACGAAGAAAAAAAGGTGGGTTATCGATAGTCGGGTCTCACCGCCTGCTGTTTTTGTCATCTATAAAATTGAGATATTGTCTTCTGTGAAGGTAAAGGGTGTAAGGATTATTTCTAGAGAGCTTATGAGTATAGGATCTGTATAACGGTGTTGTATGTGTATCCTTGAGTGTTAAGAAAGTCCTTCAGACTAGGTATGGATCACTATAGCCTATGGCTGCAACCATTGCCTATGTACCAATTCACTACATATGCACATAATAATGTTGGGAATGTGATGCAAGTACAATTTCCCACATATAAAGCCTCTGCTCATGTAAGATTATATACCTCCCACTGCGGTAGTAGAAATGATCTACTCTGCACTCGCCTGTATCCATAGACGGAGTAACTGGTATAAGTTTGATAATTACTAGTATACAAAGTAGTTGTTATAAGGGCATCTCAGATAGATTAAAATTCTGAATAGTCACAGCCCTAAACAGTAAGATAAATCATGAAACAAAGGTAATATCGTTATACTTTAATCCCTATGCCCCCCGGGCCTCTAAGGCTGTTCTGCCTGGGGCCAGGTGGGGGAAATGCAAGCTATTTGTCATCCTTGATGCCCACCTCCAGGGCTGGGCAGTAGGCGTCGGCAATACCTAAGCACAGATGTGATATGCGAGTCTAAGGCACGCACCCATGGTCTGTGCATTTACATGCTCAAAGCCAACAGGAAAAAAGCCAAGTGGGCCATCTCTAATTTCAGTGGTAGATTACATAGGATCTATTGGATGTTAGTGTACCGAGTAACTTACTCCATTCTCCATAATGATTCAAATGTTCTTTTTCGAAATAGAGCAAGCCGTGAAAAGCACTGAATCAAGGGGGGAAATATTCTCAATCAGTTTCAGTTTCAGTTTCAGTTTCAGTGTTATGGCATGGGACAGGTGTTGGTTGGTGCCCCGATGGACTATTTTATGGACGCCACTAGTGGCCCCTTTTGATATAAGCGCCCGCTGCGCCATGTTTGACATATAACGCTGTACGAGAGGATGGAGGTGATGTGACTTAGTTTTTTTTTTCTTTGTGTGCCGAGTCTGTGTTTGGATGTGATTCGATAACTTTGGGGTAATATTATTTTGTTACTGTTATACTAATGTTAGAGAAGGGGGTCCACATATATTCCTGCGAATTATTGATGATCAAGTAAATAACTACAGTAGAAGTAGGTGACATGTGAACTATTAGAGACGGAGAATTATATACAGTATATACTGCATACTTCTACATATATCTCTAGTAAATACTAGTACAGGTAATAAGTGAAAAACAATAAAATGAACGGTGGACCTGGAACTCCCAAAAACACATGTCTCAGATGGCTCCGCTGGGTATCTGGTACTTAACTGGGGTCACCGCTAATGCTCTCTCCCCTCCTTGTACTTGAGACGATCAACGTACTGTGTACATCTTCACTCGGTACACCTTTTTTTTTAAACTTCCCCCTGGATAGCTTGGGCGATCTCTTCTTCCCTTTAATATTTTTTTTTTCTAAGGGCCCAGACTCCCCCCCCCCCTCCTTTGCATTTTCTCGTCCATTTCTCTCGCTTGTTACTCTGGACTGTCACACTGCCGCCTGACGCTTAACCGCCCTTTCTATCTTTTGGAGATTTGGTACTCTCCGACTTGGACATATCAACCGAGAGGCCGATCCCACGTTTCGATCCGCTTTCCGGACCTTGCCCGCCGGATGCCCTTGCATCCTGTGAAGGAGATTTATCAAGTCAATACACAGCTTGATCATTTGCGTGATACCTGGAACTCGAATCGTTGTGTTCACTATGTCCACTGCAGTTGCATCCGCACCGGCCCCCTTGTCATCACCACACCCTACTCGCAACCCCAGCCCGAGAAATCTCCCGGCTTTGGCTCCTCCGAATAACATCCCGTCCAATTTCTCTCCGCCCCGGATGTCCAAAAGTCCCCAGAATGGATCCACGGTACCCGGTTCCCCCGCCGAGAAGAGAGGTCCAGCGTCTCCGTAAGTTGAGAGATTCTGAGAATCGGAGCTCCACAGACTAACATAATCATCAGATCTCAAGGCAGCGGAGGCCCACAGATTACCGTAAAGAAGGAACCGGGATCCTCCCCACGCATACAGAGTCGGCCCCGGCCTCGGAAATTGGACCTTTCGACTAGTCTTCCATCCTCCAGTGGTTTGTCGGTTCGCGCTCCCGGGGGACCTTTGACAGCCTCGATGCAACATGTAGGCCTCGCGTGCCTATCACCTGGCTTCCAAACTCACGATCCGATCATGCGAGAGCAGCTGCAGCGCAGCCTCTCCGTGCGGGATCAGCAGCGGTCGATCATTGAACAGCGCATGCAGAGATCCGCCAAGGATGATGGTCCGGATGGGATTAAGCCTTCCGAGTCGAATTTGATGGGTATGCCCAAGACCGCAAAGCGCCGACCGGCCGGCCTGTCCATCGTCCCTCCATCCGCCTCCCAGTTCGCAAACGAGCGAGTCATCCAATCTGCTCCGCTACACCAGACTTTCACGGGCAGGTACCAGCCACAACCATTGACTCGCCATGTTGTCAACCAGAGTCCGACCTTGGGCTCGACCTCCCACATGCATCAGCTACCGGCAACCCAAACAAACAATCGTCTTCCTCCCCTTTCTGATGTTTTCGGTTCCGATGCGTTGGGTCGCGACCGCGATTCTGGCCTCGCTAATATCCACTTGAACGCATCGAGCAACTCCTCGCAATCCAACAACTTGGCCCCAATGCCCTCCCCTGGTCTGCCGGGTAGCGTGTCCCAAACCCCCAATCGACCGCGCGAATATCACTCAGCCGAAGAAGCCGTGCAAGAGATGTCCGGGGGACGGGAGGAACTTCTGCCTCGCATTGTCCACTATGGAGGTCATCAACCTCCCACCCCGCCATCCCCACAAATACTTCACGCCGGCCCCAAGACCGCGCCTCTTGCCCCAGAACCCCAAGCGCCCCACGGTCCGCCTCCTGCCTCCTTTGGTATGTTCGCCCCGTCCGATGTTACGGCACGTCGTCGCCCTCGGAGCGAGTATGAACACGACAACGGAAGTCCGCCGCTGGGTCATGGGCCCGACTCCCAACACCGACCCAACCCAGCTTCCATACCCGGTCCACATGCTTCGTTCCCTGGACCTTTCGGCGCAGGAAGAGACTCGCCCGAGACGCAGCGGAGAAAGAAGGATGAATTCCTGGGTCTCTGTGCACGGGCTTGGGATCTGTTTCACTCGTGATACGACATCGCTCTGTTAGTCTCGGAAGCAGTGCCTCTTACGGAGGCCTAGGGTTGGCTGTACCTCGCGAGTTCCAAGTAATGATGGAATTTGCTTGAACCTACTTGCTATCAAATGCCCTACCCAACAGATCATCCCCGATTCCATCATTCATAGCACACATCTGAGGAGTTTGCTGCCTTGGAATGCAAAGACCTTTGATGCTGCAAGTCCCAGGCAATTATTTGGTTCCTTTGGCAAGTCCAACCCCAAATTCAATGCCTGGGCAAATGCGAATGTCCATATTCCCTGACTCATCCTGGACGATCGAGTCGCGAAACCCTTCCTTCCCACAATGATGCTTGCATCAATATTATGTTATCTATGTTACGACAGTATTGACAGGGCACGTTGACACCCTGTAAAATTTTGTGTTCGGGTTCCTTTCTGCATCAAGTTTGCTTTGGGCGTTGGTGGTTCCCTGCTTCGTACTATACCTTTTGAACTTGTTTTTGGGAGATAAAGCATTATGGTAATGAGTTCTCTGCCTCTTACCGGCCTGTTTCGAATGCCTTATTTTCTTCTCTTTACCTTTTGCTATTACCATATTGGCCCTCAGCTCCGACACTGGTAATCCTAATGCATCACACCTCACTATACAATATACCCGTGGACATGTAGATATTCAATATTCATATGCATAATACTATGTGCTCTTCATTCCCAGGTCAACGCCATAATCCAGTACAAAAAAAGGTCTACTCCAATCTCCTCCTCTTCCCACCATTAGGCATACCCCCATCCTCACCACCACCCTCAGCCCCCCTCCTCTCCCAAGGCATCTCCTTTCGCTCCTTAGAAGTCATCTTCTTGCGTCTCCTCTCAAGAGCCTTCGCACGCTCCCGTGATCCCATCTCCTCGTACTTCCGCTCGAGAACCTGCTTCTGCAACTCAGAGTTCTTAAGATAGTACGGGTTGGCCTTCTTACCCTCCCGGATCAACTGCTTCTCACGCTTCTTATGCTCAGCCTGCACCTCCGCCTCACGCTTCTTATTCTGCGCAGACCGCAGCTTATCCTGCGCCCGTCGAATCTCCCCCTTAAGCTTCTCCTTCTGCTGAAGATTCTTCGTCTTCCTCATTTGCTCCTTCAAATCATTCAGCTCAGACGCCCGGTACTCATCCAGGAATGCATACGCTTTCCCGCCATGCGGGTGCTTCCCGACTCCGCTGTGGCCCATGACAGCCGCATCGAAGCGCGGATCCCGGGACCGCGGCGCGGGCGGGAGTTCGACTGCTGTGCGCTTGCGCGTCACGGCACGTTTAGACGATTGTTCCATGGGCGCGTGTTTGGATGATCTGCTTTTCTTTTCTTTGGATTTGGATTTGGCGGCGGCTTCGAGCTTTTGTTCGCGTGCTTCGCGCAGCTTTGTGCGGATTTCATCGACGGTTGAGGGTGTTTCGTCTTTCGGGGTGCGCTTGTTGCGGCTCTTTTCGCGCATTGAGGCTTGCGCTTTGGCGAGTGCGCCGAAGGAAATGTCTGCTAGTGAGGCTTTGAAGTCGTCGCCGTCGTCGTGGTCGGATTCGGATTCTTCTTCTTTTTCTGAGTTGCTGGCTTCGGACTCGGAGGCTGTGCCTGCATCTTCGGAGTAGGAGCCAACGGGCTGCTGGATTGTTTGTTAGGTGTGATTCTAGAGTAAATGTATGGGTTGGCTTACTGATTGGATGGAACCGTTGGATTCGGCATCAGAGCCAGCTTGTGAGCCCTCGTCGGAACCTGATGCCTCTGAGTAGACCTCATCGTCATCTGGCCGAGCTCGGACTCGGCGATTGAGCATATCGGTAATAGCCATTTTGTTGCTGTAGTTGGTAGACCCCGCGGAGGAAGAAGAACTGTCAAAAAGAAAAATATTGCCGCCCAGAGCGGTCAGAGAGATAAGAACTGATTAGATATTTTTCGCGATGCCCCCCGGGGTTGCGAACCTGGAACGCTCTTAGCCAATTTGTATTTGTTTTATAGATGTCCCTGCATTTTCTGCGTCGAGACTTCCCTCGTTTTTCATCCGCAAATTTCTCATTGCATCACTCTCAGCCTCTTCCCAGAGCAGCCAATCAGGTATTGCCTCCACCATTCGCTACGTGGATAGCATGTTCGCCAATTGCTTGATTTATTCTGATTTGTTTTAAACAGCTTCTCGTATTGTCAAACTCTGGCGCTTTGAAACCCCGACTGAGATTCTCTACTTTTCTCTCATCGCGTCCTACGTCCTTCAAGCTGTCTCGCGCAAACAAAAGAACGAAGCGTGCGTCTAACGCCGCGGACTTTGAATACCAGTCGAGTTCGATACCCCAGTATGCCGATTCAGCCTACTATGCAGTGAACATGAAACCTGCACCAACACAGAATGGACGGGGGGGCAACCGGCCGACTCCCTCACACGGCTCTTGGGACCGCAATGCGCCCTCTCGGGATACACATCGGAATGTGGGATATGGGGACTATCCTGTACAAAGCAATCCTCCAACATCGCAGTACACTCCTGCGCCGAATAATAACTCGAACTTTGGGTATCAGATCCCTCAAGCAAATCAAACGCCACAGGCCTATCAATCTCGAGGACACGCTCCTGCCACGCAACAATACAGCCAACCGCAGATGGCTTCGGGACAAGGCCAACAATTTGGCGCCTTTAATACATTACCACAAACCCCAATGGAAATGGATCAAGCTTTCTTCCAAATGACACAGAATATGCCCTGGATGCATCCAGGCTTTGATAGCGGGATCACATTTCCACCCCCATTTCCTCTCCTCCCTTTCGATATGAATACCCCACTACCCTTCCAAAACACCCGACCCATGAGCACGATGGCCGGTGGTGCAAAACAGCGGTTTACTCCTGATGCCCAAAGACAACGATCGCCGACACCGCCAGTCAAAGTTCCGCTTCCAACACTGCAATACATGAATCAAGCATCACTAAAGCCAGAGAAGACAGAAAAGCGACCACTCCTCGTCATTCTCGATCTCAACGGCACCCTCATCTACCGCAAGCTACGCAAATTCCCACCCAAATTTGCCAGACGCACCGGTCTAGATCACTTCCTAGCCACGCTAATCGAAAACTACAAAGTCATGATCTGGTCCAGCTCCCAACCCCCGACTGTAAACGCAGTCTGCGAGCAGCTATTCCCAGATCCCATGCAGGATGCTCTCGTTGCCCTCTGGGGACGCGACAAGTTCGGCCTCACCGCTGGCCAATACAACAAAAAGCTCCAGGTCTACAAGGAACTGCATAAAGTTTGGGCGGAACCAAATATCCAAGGCGCATTCCCAGGCAACGAGCATCTAAGAGACCCCCCTGTCTCATTACCAGGCGCCGAACCGCCACACAAGAACCGCAAGCAAAAGCAGCGCGAGGCTGAGGCTGCAAAGCTCCCCGCGGGCCACCGCTGGGACCAGACGAACACCATCCTCATCGATGATAGCAAGCTCAAGGCTTCCAGCGAACCATTCAATATTCTGGAGATTCCGGAGTTCAACAACGATCCCAATATCGATGAGACGAAGCTCTTCATTAAGGTCCTCAACCGCCTCGATTTTCTCGCCCACCACGACGACGTGAGCAAGGTCCTCCGCGTCTGGAATGAACGCGTAGACAAGGGTGAGGGCAGTATTCTCGACTTGGATATTGGGCTCCATGAGGATTCTGTCGATAACGAGGATGGCGGGATGAGTCTCCTCCCAAAGCAGCCGAATGCCAACTCTAATGGCGCTCCCATGACGTTCAATGATGTGGGGGTTGCCCCTGCTCCTACAAATGCTAAGCCCAAGGTCAAGCAAAATAAGAAGGCCAAGGCTAGAGCAAAAGCGGAAGCTGCCAATAATACAACCACAGCCGCGAACACTGAAACTACAACTCCCGCAGTCACCAGTACTGCAACCACCACAAACCCAAACCCAAAACCCCAGAAAACGGAGGAACAAAAAGCCGAAATCAAATTGTCCCGCAAAGCGCGCAAAAGAGCAAAGAAAGCAGCCCAGAAAGAAGAAACTCGCGCCGCAAATATCGTCCCCGAAGCCAAGACCCATGACATGCCCACGCCGAGCTACAACAATGCAACGAGCAATCAAGTCATCGCCGGTATCGAGCCCAGCATAGACGGTGCCGGGGATGGCTCTCGAAGCGCCAAAAGTCAGAAATCGCTTCGTCGCAAACAAAAGGCCGCCAACAGAAAGGCTCAGATGGAAGCTAATCGCCCCAAGCCTCCTTCTGCGTCTGAGAATGCTGATCCGGTAGAGCCAAGATACAACCTCCGAAAAAGGAGTATTTGTCATCCCGGGTCTAGTGATGAGCATGCTTCTGGAGATGTCCCTGCCTCTACATCTGCTTCTATTTCAGGCTCTGGATATGCCTCCGGTCCCGGGACGGCCTTCGAATCCGCCTCTGCTGCAGCTCACGCCACCAATGCCGCAAACACCGTAACAGGCGGATTATCGCCCGAGTATCTCCCCCCAGACGCGGATATAACTGTTGGTATGGAACTGGATGTGGCCGAGTATGTTCCGCCGGATGTTATGACGGAGTCGAGTGCTAAGCATGACCGATCTCCGTCGCCGGCTTCATCGGCTGGGTCGGGGAATTGGTTGCTTGATCGTCTTGAGGAGGGGCTTGGGATTCGCAAGCCTTGATATGGCTTAGTTGTCGTGGTTGATGCGTGGATTCTGAGCGTTTGGGATCTTTTTGTTTTGTCCTTGGCTTGTTTCATAGATATCCCGCACTGTGTATTGTTGCCTCTTTTTAGAGGTTTTGAATTGATGGTCTATGAGTTGTCTCGGAATACTACATGTAACTACGTCAAGGCATTGCCCCGCCATACCAGTCTCGTTTGTTTATGTAGATCAAAGTAGACTAGTAGGGAAGATTAAATGTAAATAGCAGGTTACTATACATCGTAATACGGTACATGGCCGTTTTGTTCCTATGTCTGCCACTCGAGATATATATACCCGGTTGTTCAGGGAAAAGTCTTTCTGCTATCTATAAAACCGAGAAGGGAGAGAAAATATCTGCAAGGCATATAAACAGGATATCTGAGAAGACCACAGAAAAGACCCTTGAAAAAACATGACGCGGCCGCATAAATGGCCAACTATACTTGTCAATACATTGACATCAACATGAGCCGTTCACATAAAAGTCACAGCAACAATTACCCTCCGGAATTGTGCACACCAGGCTGGTAGACGACAACATACCTAATATCTTTCTGTTTCAAGTTGAGTACAACATGGCTCTCATCATTTCTCACCTTGGCTTTGGCCACCTGACCAGTCCCCATATCCCTCATCGAGACTCTGAATCCACTATAAAGAGAAAACAACCAAAAAGACGAAACTCGAACAAAGGGTGGATGTTGTATGAAGTGTGTACATTCAAGTCAACTAGCAGCTGAACGGATTTACAAATTTTGTGCGATCTGAGGCCCAGGTCTAATTGCCATTGGAGACTAACAAGTTGGCCGACATCTTAGGGCATTGATGCTATCCTTGGAGCTATGACCTCTACACGACCCCTTACTAATTGAGCTTTGAGCCCTAAGCTATACTACGTAAAGTCTATAGACTTTACTTTTTTTTTTTTTGGATATGAACAAGCAAAGCAATATCCTGGGGTATTGATAAGTTTAGCGAATCTCTTCCCCAAAGTATGTATGCCCTTGTGAAGGGGCGCGGGCTGTTTGGTGGCGCCAGTTGCCATTTCTCCACGAAGACTCTATCTCTTTGTTTGGAGATAGATATGAACAAGACGATTCGGACCATGCCAGAAGAGTTAGATAGCCACCATAGTGCTTCCTGTCTGAGGCGAGATAAAGATTCAGAAAGGCCTGTCTCAATGGTGAGGGTTGGCCAGTCGGGAGGGAGCGCGCAGCAACTCGAAACAGGAAAAGTGGTGGACAACGTATCCATCTGGAAGATTGGCCATGATAGAAGACGAGGAAGTGGTACGAGAGACAGGGCCAGGAAGAGAAAGATCTGGGCCTGTAGAGCCTTCAGTTTTTAGAGACGCCATTTTCGAGGTACTTGAGGAAAGTCCGAAGGAAGAAAAGGGTCAAGGAAACGACACAGAACATACTCGGTCTTCCTTGAGCTTCATCCATGGCAACTGAGATATGGCAAGTGCAAACTTGACAGGGTTTTACGTCGTATAGATATCCTGTAAACCAGCGATTGGGTAGGCTTTGTTACGATCACCAGTAGTAAGGACTGAAAGATACTCTGATAAACATTCTCTCCTACCCTTTGGAAGTCTCCTAGATATGCCGTATATGAACCCTAATACGAGACATTGCTAAGACGACTAAGGGCCCTAGCAATTTACACGCTAGACATCCCATGTAGGGATATAGGAAGACAGGAGCCATTGTATATGCACTCGACTTGCCTATTGTTCTCCGCCATTGTTGGATGGGGATTGCAGATAGCAGTTTATATAAATGGCTACCAGGGACACCAATACCTATATCTACATGTAGTAATCCTGGGTAAGCTTGGTGTGTCGAGAAGCAGCTTCGCGTGCTATTCCAGGACTGTTATATTCATGGATACTATGCGTTTTAGGAAGGCGGTATTGGCGGACTGGGAGTGATGTATCCTGGCTAAAATCGCACAACTCACAAGTGAATCACCCCAAGACCTCTTTTTACTAAGTGTTACGTGACAATTTACAAGGCACAGGAAGCATGCACTCAAGAAATCAGAGAACTGTCTCTGTTCTTTCATTGCTAGAACTAAACTAGCAGCGACCTGGCCGACTGGGATTGTCATAGTAGCAAACCCAAGCCAGCTCAGTCGATCATCATTCCACGTCGCAACGTATTCATAACCGTGATTCAACATCAACACATAAGACCATAGGTCAAGATATTTGGATAATCCCAAAGAATTTCAGGCAGAGGAAAGAAGAGAATGGACGTGAGGGGTAGGGTGTCTTCAAGCACAGCACGTCCATTGGGGTATTGGGGGATGAAATTTTATAGGAGATGGGGTGGGTGGATCGGGGTGAACACGCTTATTTGAAGACGTGGCCATCGGTCCACTCCTTGACCTCGCCGTTGACGGTGACGGGGACATCCTGGGCCCACATGTCCTCGACGAGCTTGCGGTCAGCCTCGTTGGAGGGGTCGAGCTTGGTGAACTCGTAACCCTCGAAGTCGGGGCCGACAGTGAAAGCGGGCTCCCACTCCTGGCCGCGGGTCATGAAGGCACCGTAGACGACACAGTTGTAGTTCTCGCCGTAGACGGACTGAGCACCGAAGAGGTACTTGCGGGAAGCCTCAAGACGGGTCTGGAAGCCACCGATCAAGTTGTTGGCCATGAAGGTGAGCTTGAGCTCGTTGTTGTACTTGTAGTTGACCTTCCAGAGAGAGTACTCATCGGCCTTGAAGTGCTCCCAGAACCAGGGCATGGCAACGGTGCGGACATCCTCGTTGGAGAACTTGCGCTTCCAGTCATCAAGGATGAGAGTGGGCTTGCCAAGAGCCTCAAGGGGGTGCTTGGCCTTGGGGGCCTCGGCGGGGGCCTCAGCAGCGGGGGCAGCGGCAGCGGCGGGAGCAGCGGCCTTGGGCTTGGGCTCCTTCTTGGGGGCGACGTACTTGATCACCTCCTCAGCGAACTTGGGGGTGGGGACGACAGCCTTGAAGGAGTCCTGGTTGATGATGGTGTTGTACCACCGGGTGGTGGCGGGGTTGGCCTCGCGCCAGGTTTTGTCAAGGACAGTGGCGAAAGCACGGGTGAGGAGGGAGGCAGCGAAGATATCGGCCAGGGTGATGCGCTCACCAACCAGGTAGGTGTTGGCAGTGAGGTGAGTCTCAAAGGCACCGACGATCTTGAGGGCAGACTTGGCGGCCTCATCGGTGGTCTTCTTGTTGTAAGCATCGAGACCCATCAAAGGACGGTACCAGGCACCGAACTTGGGGAGGACCTCGGCGTTGACGAAGGACATCCAGCGGAGGATGGAAGCGTAATCCTGCTTGGTCTTGCCAAGGAGGGTGGTCTTCTCGTTCTGGGAGGTGACTATGAACAGGACGTGTTAGTCAAGTTGCTTTGAAACTCAGTCGAGTCCAACGGTGGAACAATGAGTTGCCAATGGCACCACATGTCCATATCAAAAGGGGAAAGTCGAGTCCAAATTTTCCCGCAGAGCGGGGTAGCCAAAATTTTTTCAGAGTTGTTTTTTCTCAACAGTTACATTTCTGACAGGGATAACTAATGGTATCTCATCATAAAAAATTGAGGCGAAATATGGACCGAGTGGGGTGGCGAAATATATTGAATAGGGGGGGACGAAGTCTTCACATACCATAAACGGCAATGGCAATGGCCTCGGAGAGAGTGAAGCCATTGGCACCCTCGAAGGCGGGGATCTTGCCAGTGGGGTTGATCTTGAGGTACTCAGCGCTGCTGTTGAACTCAGCAGTAGAGTTGGCCTGGGTGTTAACCAGCTCCAAGTCCAGGTCGTTGTGCTTAGCAGCGACCAGGATGGAGATGGTGCGACCGTTGTCCTAGAGAATGTTAGACAGAGAACCAATGCAACAGAGATGGATAGGGACATACAGGCAGACCGTAAAGCTTTCCGAAAGCCATCTTGTATGTGAAGTTTGGAAGATGAAGAAAAAAAGAAAGAAAGAGGAGAAAGGAGAGGGGCACGCAAGAATTTTGTGCTGGCGGGACGACCTCGGCGTTCGGAGAAACTGATCTTGCTGGTGATCACATGACCTGACAAAAAACATGACACTCGGAGACCATCAACGGCCTCCATCTAGGACCTCAGAGCCGAGTTTCAGCCCCGAATTCCCCGCCAATTCCACCAGCCATGGCGTGGCACAAACCCACCAGCCTCGCACAGGCGATGCAATCACTGCGCCTAACCTCAACCCTCACAAAACCCTCATCCCAAGCCTCCCGAACAACTCTCAACACCCTCCGCACGCGGACCTACGCAACGGAAGCCGAATCCGTCCCCGCTGCCGCAGCCCCAGAAATCAACTTCGGCGCCTTCTCCCAAAAGCCCGCTCGCATCATCCCCTCCTCCCCTTCCTACTTCTCCGGCAGCCCGCGGTTCATCGACCACGTCCTGCAGCTGGAAGCTCTGCAGGCCAAGCATGCCTCGCTCCCTACAGTGGCTACCAGCGAGGCACCACGCATGGCGTGGTTCAAGCTCGCCCAGTTCCGTGATTTCGTCGGCGAGCCCGTGCCTATGAAGAAATACAAGTCCCTCGTCAAGATCCTGCAGCGGTTGAACCGCATCCAGCCCGATATGGTGCCCGTCGAGGTGCGCGATACCCTCGCCGCATTCTTGCGTCCGGGTAACCCGTACGCGGTGGAGAATGTTCCCCGGACAGTGGATGAGAATGGTCGCGCTCGCGGCAAGGGAAAGAGGAAGGAGTCTTCGGCTGTTGTGCAGCTTGTTGAGGGCGAGGGTGAGGTGCTGGTTAACGGGAAGAGTTTGGTGGAGGCGTTTAAGCGGGTTCATGATCGTGAGAGTGCGCTTTGGGCGCTGAGGTGTACACAGCGTTTGGATAAGTATAACGCTTGGATTACAGTGCGGGGTGGTGGTGTTACTGGTCAGGCTGAGGCGATTACGTTGGCTCTTGGCCGAGCTTTGCTGTTGCATGAACCTGGGTTGAAGCCGATTCTGAGGAAGGGTATGTTCTTGCTTCCATTCTTATATCTCATTCCATTTCTGGGACTGTTGCTAACATTAATTCCTTTACAGCCGGTGCTATCACAGTCGACGCCCGTCGCGTCGAGAGAAAGAAGCCTGGTCACGTCAAGGCCCGCAAGATGCCTACCTGGGTCAAGCGTTAAGTGGCCAGCGAGATCGCTCGAGCATTTTCTATTTCCTTTTTGTTTCAATATTGTATTATTCCACCAACCACGGCACCCCGAGTTCGCGACTTGTTTTATATCCTGTACTCTCAATGCATATGGGGCATCAATTCCAAGGTTTACACTGAATTTGATTTGAATTGAATGATTAGATCAGCGTGTTTACATCCATTTCGAGGCCTATGGTTCTAATATCTCACTGAATACATTATAACAAGTATGGATCGTGAGTAATGAAGTTTATCTTATTTCCTTATGTTTCTAAGGTTGCTCTTGGCGATTCTTCCTATGTTGAAAAATGGCATGGGAAGGATACTAAAACGGATGTCAATTGAGGTCAGACGCCATGTTAAGTTGTCCGGAATATTCAATTGAATCCAAGACAGCACCGATGTGGTAGCAGCCTTGGGGCAGGGTGAACATGACAACCGACTATTACACACCAATTAGGGCAAATATTGCTCTACAACTTACAACTTGAGCACTACCAACCCCACTACTCTTGCTTGCCATAGTCTCGAATATAAACCTGAATAGTGAAAATAGTTGATATTTGATATCAAGTCCATCAACTCCTCAGATCCAACAGATCAAACCAATCCTTGGAGGGGTATGCTAGCGAGATAGCGATTCAAAACGCCGGGACCCAATATGGATCTTTGATATCACACGAAGCAACAAGCATAGACTATTCACTAGACCAAAGAGAGAATGAAACGACCCCAAAATCCCAAGCCCAATTCCAAAACGGGAACACAAAGGTCCCATTCCATTTTTGCGCCAGATGCCCTTTGCCGTTTTTCGTGCCCACGCCCCAATGCAAAGCCAGTTCGGATCGATTCAATACAAAAAAAATAAATGAGATAGGAAAATAACAGAAGTCAAAGAGAACCGCCCACAAAAGACTATGTACAACTCGTCAAATTCATTAGGATATGGTAAAGAGGATTGTGATGTGATTGTGATGGCTGTGAACGAGAATGCGACATCGCCAAGTCACCTCGCTAAGATTTAAATAGGCGATAGGTATGATTCATGTGGAAGGATCAAGCGCTGGCCAAGACCGAATGATCGCCCCCACTGAGGGGGGAACGGGAAGACCAAAGATGGAAGGAGGTCGAACTCTCAAATGCGAGCCTGACGAGGCTAGAGGTGACAGGTTTCCTCTTCGTGGGTTGGCGT